GAGAAGCCGTTTGTCACTGAAACATTTCTCATACGCAGCCCAAAAGAAATCAACAAAAATATAAACCATATAAATTAATAAATTTTGTTTGGTATTATTTTATTACGCACCAGAAACAACAACAACAAAAAAGACACACCACAAAGACAATGAATTGAACCGAAAAACAAAATAAAAAAACTCAGCAGAGTTCATGGCGATGGTCCATTCAAAGCCGGGCTTGGGCTTGGGCTGGGGCTTGGGCTGGGGCTTGGGGGCTTTGCTTTGGTTTCTTGGTCTGGTGACTGGCGAGTGCGTTGGGTCGGTTTGGGTTGGGTTGGGGTTTGGATCGCTGGTGCTGTTCAATCCATCAAAAGAGATTATATTCATTAACTAGGCAGGCGAATGGCAAACAAGACTGGAACGACTGGGACGACTTTGCCGGACTGTCGATGGCGTTGATGTTGATGATGGCCACTGTACTGCTGTACTGCTGTACTGCTGGAATTTCTTAATTTTTTTGACAGTTCTCATCAAAATGTGTTGAAATTGCTATTATTATCTGTTTCTGTATTTGTATTGTGTGTATTGTGGTGTATTGGGAATTTTACAAGAATCATCTAACAGCTTGACGCTGCCATGACATGACACAATTCGCATTATGCCATACGAAAGATCTGTGGACTCCATTAAAATGCCGTTTTTATTTCTGACAATTAGACACCATCCAAAAAATTAATGTCTGCCCTCTGTAATTTTCTCGGAATCTGCCGGGCATCTGTTCGAAAATGTCATCGCCTAACAGCGCCTATCACACTTGACATTCAAAATATGAAAGTTTTTTTTTTGTTTTTTTGGGAATACTAGTGTGTACAAGCATTAACCTTGTAGCGGACTAGACTTACATACATATACTATGTAGCGTAGAAGAACCAAATTGGTGGCACCCAACATTCTATATAGATATTGAATACAGATTCTCGCAGCTGTCGGATATGCCGGCGGCAATTAGTTTATTTTCGCTTTGACATGTTTACAAGAGCCAACAAACAATTGGCCTAGTCTACTCTCACAGCGTCCAATAATTATGGCTCTTTGTGCTGCGAGGCGAGGCGAGGCGAGGCACACAGCTGGTTTCTTTCAGGGACTCAGATGCGTAAAAAACAATCTTCGGGCCCCATCCCTAAACGATTTGTAAATACAATGGAAAGGGCAAAGTTCTTTACAGTTTCCGGGAGGCAGGCAAGAGGGCTTTTGAAGATGCCTGCCTGCCTCGCCTGCCACTTTGTGCTACAAAATAGGAAATGTTTAAACAAAGCAAAAGCTATAAATAGGAATAATAATGTTTTATTAATGGGAGAGACAATGTCGATGGTATTTGGTTTGCCTTAATTTTAATTGTACGGCGTTTAGTACAAAAAAGGAGCGATCGGCAAACGGCATGGCATGCTCTGCTCTTCATGCAAATTTGGCGCATCGCTTTGGATATTAATGGATAACCACTTCAACTCTATTTTGTACGTATATATACGAGTTTCTGTCGATTCGTCTCGAACCAATTTGGTAGCTGGTGGGCCCCGCAAGTGGGCTGCGCTGCTGGCTAACCAGTGCAGCCGAAGGCTTTCGTTTGCATTATGGCTTGTAGAGGGCAGCAAATAAGGCGATTTATACGCATAAATTAATATTTATGATTTGAGTTATTCAGTTTTTTTGCACGGTAACCCCCCCCCCCTCCCCCCTCCCCGACAACAAGTGTACGAGTATTCTATTTGGTTGGCCTAACGAGATCCACTCGAGGTTGATGTGCTTGAAGAGCCAGTGAATGTACATTTGAACCCCATACACTTGCTGGGTAAGCAATGCAGACCCACATAGCCATAGACAATGTTTTCTTAGTGGGTTGAGCCCCGTCGTCTCAGCAAAGTGACTAAACTCGCTCTGGGAGCAGTCCTAATCAAAAGGTGTGCCACACTCTGTGTGTGTGTGTTTGCATTGCTCTTGACGAAACGCACATCTGCTCGGAGCCGAAGCCAAAGCCATAGCCATCGTATCGTTGATCATTGGTTGTCAATGGTCGATGGTCGATCGTTAGATCGATGCTCACCAGGGGCCCATAATGTTGCGAAATCAATGGCTTGTACTATCCATACAAATGTATTTTCACGACAATTGTTTATCGATTTGCATTGTCCCCCCCACTCCCACTCTCCTATTTTACGGCGTTCATTAACCGCGCGTATTTATGACCCCCAATTGGAGCCAGCACACACTCACGTTCTTATTCTAATTTGCTAGAGGTCTGCCATCAATCTAATGGTCGGGCTTAGCAGGGACAGATCGATTGGCGATTCAATTGTCACGCTCCGGCATGACAAATTGAACGAACAAGAGTTCATTTGTGGCGGGAGGGAAACACAGGCACCTACTACGAGAGTATATGTCTTATGTCTTTTCACTAGGGGTCCCAAACAAGTTTCTTTTGGATACCTTTAATTCTGGCGCCCAGAGCATACGGTGTGACCCAATTTCCTTGACACATGCCTGGCAGGTTTACAAACAAAAACTGTTACGGTTAACAATAATTAATTCTGTTGCTCTGCGGTACGGCGGGGCGTTGGCAGTTCTCATTATTTGGTGGCCTGGCCAAACGACTGTCTCTTTCCTTCCCAATTGGCGATTTCATTAGGCCATAATTGAGTTTAGTTGTCAGTTTGTCAGTGAGCCCATAAACACGAAACAGGCAGGCGGCGCCCTGGGGGCAAACCTGGACAAACCTGGCCACAAACCGGAGCCACAGTTCTTTGACGTGAAAGAGCGATGCCAGCTTGCGGCCACATTCATTGAGAATTGCGGATGGCGAATGGCTGACTGGCGAATTGGCGAATTGGAAGTGAGATCTGCAAAGCCAAACCAGAGACTGAGACAAAGTTCCCACGCCTCAAATTGTTCACGCACGCCTCAATAATCGAAATATCATCGTGTATCGGCCTTAGACTTTCGCCTTCTAGCACTTGCACTGGGTGTGAGTATCTATGTATCTACTGGCCGCCAGCAGGCTCTAATTTATGGATTCCATAATATTTATGAAGAACAGATGCGTTGGCAAGTGGGCAGCCAGGCAGGCAGCCAGGCAGCCTGCATGCAGGCAGCAGGCAGAAGACAGTCAGACAGGCAGCCTACAGGCATCGGCCCGGTCCGGCCAATATCATAATCATAATAAACACATCCAAAACGGCGCGGCGCGGCCAGCACGTGTGTGCCTCTGTTTTTGGGCCGATTTTTGCTTTGGTAATGACCCAAATTTTATTGCTGTGCGCTAAATACGCCTAATGGTCGTTTAATTATTGTATGACAGACAGCGACAGCCGTCGCCGCACCAGCCCCAACATAAATACAACTAATTGTACAATAACAAGGCAAGGAGCCACGCGAGGGTATAAATATATATATATATATATATACAGCAGCTAAGACAAACTCATGAAATGCTTATGCTGGAAATCATGTACAAATTTTTGCTTCACCAATATCGACAGCGCCATCTAACGGCAGCTACACATTCCGGAACGTATCGGATTGGATCGGTTAGCGCTTGCCGTTTGGCCATCATTTTGAAGTTTGCCTGCTGCCGGGCTGCCGGGCTCCAACAAGGGGCTGAGTGTTGTTGCTGCTGCTGCTGGCGATGCTGTCAGCAAACATAGTAATTTGTTTTATATTGTTTAGCAATTGACACGCCTGCTTTGCTGCCTTTACCTGAACCGAAATTTGTGGCAATTGTCTGGAGTGCTAAAATTAATAAGAGTGGCTTTGCTTAGGGTTTTGCAGAGTGTCTTATGTGATTTTTGACACTTTTCGACGCGCTATCTTTACGGGGCTACATATATGCCTCTGAAGGCAATGGGCTTTTGTCCAGAGCCACGCAAACGAATTGTGCCCATGGAAACCGAATGGCAGCAACTGTTTTGTATATACATATATACATATAGTTGAAAGGGTGATGGGTTGGGGGGATGCTAATGCTGCTACCACCCATATATTTTAATCTACAATTGATTTCCCATTCGACTTGCCTCTGTACCGCCGTACCGACGTGTATTTATAGCGAAAGGCTATTTGGCAGCCGGAGATTGGGATGTGTTTCGAATTGCGTAAATAGAATTTCATGTTTCATTTATATGTGCATTTTATATAAAAATAAAATGTGGAAAAAATACACAAACTGCTCCGGCTCCGGCCCAAACACAGACACCAGTACAAAGTATATTTTAAAAATAATTCAACTCAGCATATGGGTAAGTGCACTTGCGTAAATAATAAATAGAGAACAGTCCAAGATCAGACCGTAATCGTGCATGTTAAATGTACAAATGTTGAAAACAGAGCCTTCAGCAAGGCAATTAATCAATAATTCTTCTTGCGAAATATCTACAAAAAAATATTCTATGGAATGAAGCCCGAAAGAGTTGCGAAATTTTTGTGAAATAAATTCAAAATTATTCTTATCAAAATAGAAGTCATGGGACCAGACGAAAATAGAAGTATAAATAGGTTTTTTGTTTTTTTTTTTTGTTTTGTTTAATTGGTTGCTAATGTCATAAAACTAAACAAAAAGTGTGTTTGTCTTCGGAACAGCTGAGCAGGGTCCCAAAGCGCCGGCAAACGTGCCGGGCCGTGCCGCCTCTCAGGGAGACACTCGGAGAGCAGTTCCAGTTCCAGCGAAACATGGAGATAAGCCAAGGAGTACCGTGCTTGTTGCTATCAGCATTAATTAGCGTAGCTTCGCAGATCGTTTGCAGATCAGTTCGATCGTACAGCACAGGTCTCCCATATATACATATATGTATGTATATATGTACATACATAGATGTATGCGTGTTCAGACGCCGTGTAAGCAGCAGTCTGTTTATTTTTCTTGCTAAACATTTGGGTAAATATCAACTCTGCCGTGACGTGCAGTTTTGTCAATGCAAATTAACATCTATCTATCATCTGACAGCTGATCGGATGGATGTAGGCTCGCTCGATGCTGTGCTCGGTGTAGGGCTCTGGAAAACTTCTGCTGCTGCTGCTGCTGCTGCTGCTTAGGGCAGTTTTGCCATTGATGGGCACGCGTGTGGTCCTAGGTCTGGGCCAGATAAATAGCGCGACAACAGCAACGCGTGTGAGAACTTCATAAAACCATAAAAGATACCAAAGCCGACTAAAAGATACCCGCTACTCGGGTAGCCCAAAATTTATAAATAGCAAGTATATCTCTGATTTCAAGGCTGACTTCTAGATCTAGTTTCTTAGCACGACTTTACACACACGTATTTTTTTTTGTGAGAGAGCTCTCCACCAGCGCAACATGCCCTAGTAGCTCTGCTCATCACTGGGTACTACAAATCGGATACTAAATGCAAAAAGGCGGAAATATATTTGAGCAAAAGCGAGGAGAGAAATGTAAATAAATAATAAATAAAACAGGTCGATTTATTAATGACTTTAAATTGATTTTGTATGCAAATTTTTGGATCTGTTTTGTTTCTAGTTGCCGCTCAGTTGTCGAAACCGTTAACCAAATGGCCCGCAGCAGAGATATGCGCGGGAGATATTCGATTTCACCACGAACCGGAGGGCGTGTGGCAATAATGCGATTAAATGTTATATTTTTAGATGTCAGGTATGTATGTATCTTGTGTGCTTCCCAGAAGAAACGGAGCTTAGTGCTGCCGTTTCTGTTGAATTCTGAAAGGTATGGATGGGCCAGATCCAGCTCCAGTTCCAGGACCACTGGCCGTATGCTTGATGTGCAATCAAAATGACATCAATTGTCTCATAAATCATGGCACCCGAATGTATAAATTACACCCCGCATAGATCGCAGCCGAAGAACCGCAATGCTTTCGCCTAATTCCTGTGAATCGAAACAAAAGGCACAGCAACAGCAAAAACAACACAAATCCCAATTCCCAATTCAATCCTAAGCGGCAAGCTGCGCTCCTTGAAATATTAATAAAAGTAACAAAACAAAAATATTAAAAAAAGAAATAAGAACAATAATAAAACAACAAAAACCATGCCATTAAGGAACCTTCTTTTTTTATGTATACATATTCAGATTTCGGACTGCGTTCGGCTTATGGAGGAACTGCTGCACCGCACCCATTCAGAGTTCGATGATAAAGTGATGATGCCCCAAGGTTTCGAAATTGCTTTCAAATAGATTCCGAGCCCCGGAGCCAAGCCACTTCTGACTTCTGAATTCAGGCAAAAGAGTTTAGCATATGAATAAAGAGCGCACCGCCCCAAAAGATTCGTCTCGATCCCCGATGCCCGATCCACGACCAACCGATTCCGATCCGTTGAGTTCCCCTCCCCAATTTATATGCAAAGCGACAATGTGTGGTGATAATGCCGCGATGATCCAGCATTGGGCCATAGCAAGGCCATGGCATCGGGATGAGAGTGATGATGATGCCACCATCATGCGGCAGGGCGAAATAATTAAACGAGTATCGTAAAACTAAAATATAATGGATTTATGTAAAGTTATGTTACACGCTCTGGCTGGAAATGGACACAAATGCGATAAGCCGGCTCACAACAAATGGCAGCAAATAAATAAAAAATCATTAAGAGCTTCGGTTCGGTTCGACTCGGTTTGGTTTGGTTCGGGCCTGTCCTATTATGGATGGACTCACAGATACTCACTAAATGCCGAATAAAGCATTGAGATAGGCTCAAACAGAAAACCAGCTTAGGGGCGGTTCTGGCTTTTGATGTAAGCCCACAAATCAGTTAAACAAATTTTTATTTACCAAAAAAAAAAATACAAAATAATTTGCCGCAAAATTCATTCACGACCTGTGATCTGAGACAAGACACAAAAGAAACAACCGAATGTGTAGAAAAATTGGACATATAATTATTAAAAGGTGTTTTCGCCTTGAGTGGCTCCGCCTGTGGCAGCCGGGGATGGACATTGGTCACCAATTATGCTAATACCTTGCTGAAAATATCTGCCTAAAATCCATATTTAAATTATTAACACAGAAACCGCAGCTAAGCGAATTCCCCATTCGGTTTTGAAAACCAACTGCTAGCCAGATTGAACATGTTCAACATTAATCTTGACTGATAAATTAAAAAAGAATTAATTAAAATGAGCAATCACTTTGGGTCGTGTCGGATCTGCTTAGCTTTGATGATCGTTTCTAATACTCTACGAAAATTAATACTTTTATTAATCACTTATATTCGATCTTAAAAGAATTAAAATTGTGTTAATAGAAATATAGATAAAAGATTTACCACAACGGCCTGCGTCTAACACCTTTCACGCTGAATATGTGATATCTTCAAGCCGACAATTTGTGATTAGAGAGTATCTGAGTTTCGTCAAAGAACAAAAAAAATAATCAAATGTGAGAGAGCCCCAGCAGCCCCAGCAACACCCTAAAGTCACGCCCCGGCATTACACTTCCATTTATTTTTTTGGGTTTATTTTTGGCTTTTTTACTTGAAATTATATTGCGGTTTTTGTTATGGTTACAGACAAGAGTTATTTGTCACCCCCCTACCTCTACCTCTACCCGAAAGGGCTGTTCGACTGCGCCCTCCTCATTTGCATACAAATGGGCATACGACAAAAATTCTATTGTATCGTAAAGTAACCTCTACCCATCTCGATGGAGTGAAGCGGCGACCAGAATATTTCACGATCATTACCCAGCAAATCTGAATTTTTGGCAGGGTACATCAACTACATGTGTACAGATGTATGTAGTTGCTGGGGAGGAGGGCATCGGAGAGAATACATTGCGAATCGGACAACACCCACATATAGGAATGAAATGGAGTCGGTTCGGCAACAGACAAATGTTCAATTTCAGACTTGTCTTGTGTACATTTCGTTTTCTTTTCATTTCTTCGTCTCTTTTGTAATGTCAATGAACGCTAAAAATTTTCTTCATTTTTATTTAAAGTAGACGAAATAAATTGAAGACAAAATGAATAAAGAGAAAACAAGGGGGACACAGAAACACGCGCAAAGCAAACGACGGACGCCTCAAAAATAAAATACAAAAAATAAAATAAAATACAAAAAATAAATAACAAGAAAATAAAATTCAAATTCTACATATTGTGCACATTTCATTGTTGAAATACAAATCGGACAGCGCACCCATAGAAGCCCTTAATACCATATACCCCGACAATACTTGCAAACAATTATCCCAAAGCGCCACATAAATAATGTGAAAAATCTATTTTCAACACAAACACACAAAACAAAAACGAAACAAAACAAAATAAAAACCCATATATTATTGTCTCTATTTTTCATTTGCTTTTTGTTCATATTGTAGATGTAGTACGAGCATACTTGACTTTTCAGCACCGTGCCATATAGACAGTCTATCGGCAGCTGTCAGCAGTCAGTCCCATCCCATCCCATTCCCTAGCCCCTATCCCATGGGGGGTTACGTTTCACATGGCCATGGCAGCGAATCGTTATCAGTTCGGGGCGAACTTACAGCCCACTTAGCCTGACAGACTTCCTAATACGCACCACCCAACATTATTTATTCATGAACTTGGCGTTCCGTGCATTTGTTCGTGTTGTTTTCGATATTTTTACATTGTACACAGCACCAAAACGGACGTTGATAAAATTCTAATTGAACGGGCTTGTACACTGTAAGCCATGTTTTCCATCGTACACGTTTTTGTTATAGTCACGTCTCGTCCAGCCACTTTTCACACCTTGTTGGGGATTGGGATTGCTAAATCTTAATTATCTGCACTTTCCACACATGTCGTGTAGCAATTGCAATTGTGCAATGTTGTTTCCCGAAAGTCTCGACTGCATTTGTCTATGTATTTCTATGTACATAGTGTCACAGCATTCTGCCTGAAAGTTTGACTGACGAGTGAGCTTGGGTCCATACACCATTAACCATTAACCAAACAATATGTACATACATACATATAATTACGACAAAACTTTTATTCTCGTAGTAGAGATAACCCCGCGACAACATTTTATCCTTATTTTATAATTTTTATCTGGTTGTACGAGTATCTGTTGAGATTATAATCGTCATCGCATGTTGCAGAATTGTTAAATTCTGCGAACAAGATTTTTTTTTTTTTTAAATATGATAAGCGTAGTGTTCCGGAAACACATGTCCAGAAATCAGCAGTGGAGCAGCTCTTGACGCAAGTGAAAATCATTCTAGCTAATGAATCAGTGGCAGCAGCTCACTAATTCTCCCTAACGGTTTACATATCAAAAGATGACCCATTCTGGGAAAAGTGCAAAAAAAAGAAACATTTGTATCTACGTATAAAAAAAATGTTATCAAAGACGGCAGGAATTCTCCTCGTTACAGCGCTCCGGCAGCCACTGTCCCGGTGTGGTCACAGAATATACAATTCAAACTATTTGCCACTGGAAATGTTTTGTTTGTTGCGATGCCCGTTTATGTTGCTAATTTGATCTGCTTCTTTTTTGTTTCTTGTTAGTTTTTTTTAGATTTTGTTGCCGGGTGTGCAATGGAGCGTGTGTATTCAAATGCGATGGCCCCACCGCAGCGACGACGCTTTCTTTGTGCCTCTTCGGTATTTAATCAAAAAAGAGAGGAGCAAAAAAAAACACACACACCGTGGAATACAAAAAACGAGACGAGCACACCAAAATAGCGACAAATCAACCGAAAATTATAAAAGAAAAGAAAGAACTCGACAAATCGATGTGGAATCAATGCAATAAATTAACTTGATTTGGTTTTCGCTTTGCCAGCCGATTTCGATAAAAAAAAATAAAATAAAAAACCCAAAAAAAATGTGAGGGAAAAACAAAAGAAGAAATAAATGAAATATCGTAAAACAAAAGGCCCAGACCAGTGCCAACGGCTGGAATCCCATTCCGAATCTGAGCTCCACATCACGCCATGAAATATGAGCAGAATTTTTGGCCAGAACAAAAAAAAAAAGAAGCCTTTACCTGTCTGTCCACCAGCGGCCGCTTGTAAATGAAATCCTTCTTGGGTGAGTAGAGCTCCGGCGGTATGCCTTTGAAGGAGTACCGCAGACCGGCATCGTCAAGGTCGTTCGCTGAAGGTGTTCCCCGCAGACAGCCCTCCACATCGATCGCATCTTCATACTGCTCCTGCTCCGGACCCGCCTCCGCCTCTGCCTCCGTTTCCGTTTCGTGTGAGTCGCAGATTGTAGTGCTACTCGTCTGATTGCTGCGACCCGATGTCGTCGATCGTAGCGTGGCGCTCCCACAGTCATGCGCAAAGTCATCGTTGCAGTTGGTGTCCAGGGCGCCTGCGCCCTCGCCACCGTGCAGCAGCTGATGCGCCTCCGTTGCCATGCACCGCTCGGGCTCTGTCTCTGCTTGGCGCGCACTTGGCATGGACATGGTGATGGTGAGCTGTGGTGTGGTGTGGTGTGGATGCGGAAGAGCTGCTAGATATCGATCGGTGGGCAACACGTGTAAAAATGCGCGCGAAATCGGGGCTCAGGTTCGTTGCCCACGCACGTTGTGGGTATGTGTAAGTAGTATATACTGTGTATGTATATGTATATATGTATTTTGCTTTGCTTATTTTGCTAATTGAATTGCGACAGTTCCGTTCCGTTCCAGACCGTTAACGTTGCCGTTGCCGTTGCCGTTGACGCCGCACGCGCACTCACGCACCCGCCTCTTGGGCGAAGATCAACATTGAGCGGGTTAGTTTGTATAAAGAAGATTTAGACAAGAAGGCACATGAGCATGCTGGCACTGATGGCAGTGATTAGCTTAGATAAAACGTATACTAAGATATATATATATATATATGTATGTAGATATGTATATGCTATGTGGTCGTAGTCTGCATTGTCGCCTTCGTCTGAATCTTTTATGCCGAATCGCGAAATTCTCCAATGTTATTTCATTTCACATTTCATCTTCGTACCTTATATACACTATTATACAGTACATATGTGCAAGATGCATTCACTTAGTTATTCCGTGTAGCTATGTATGTATGTCATGCTGCACATTTTTACTTTAACATTCTGATTCTGAGTCGGTGACGGTTTTTGAACAGATTTTTTGTTTGGCTCTTTTTTTGGCTGATGGGGGGGTCTGGTGAAGGTTGTCCCAGTGCTGCTGCACGACACCATGTCAAAGTTAACAAGACCACGCCGACCACACACACACCCAACCGCACACAGATCTAAACACACACATGGCAATGGCATTATCGTAGCGCTGCGCGAGAACCCAAGCCCAAGCCGAGCATTCTTGGGGCATTGTTGTCAGGAGCTGTTGTCAGATTCGGAACTGGAATCGGATGGGGATCGGCAATCGGGAAATCGGATTCGGAATCGAAATCGAGATATTGTATAAACACACAGAAATAAATGCCAAATGGACAATACGCTGGCCGCACGCGCAAAAATAAACAGACGCAACCGAAGACAAAAATTTATGAAACCAGACAAAAGTGTTTCTAGCGTTTTTGTTTCGGCTCGCTCGAGTTCCCGCTTCGGACTGCCGCTGCTTCTGGCCGATCAGCCCAGTAAACAGCGACAACTCGTCGCAGTCGCACGCGGTGTGTGCTTGGAGCGGACTGCACACACACACACACACCCCACTACACTCTCCCTCACAGCCCCAAAAGGCCGCAACAGCAGAAGCAGAATCAGCAGCAGCAGCAGCCACAGCCGCAGCAGTACGAGCATTAAGAGTAAAAGTTTCTCTGTCTCAGCACCGCTGATATGGATGGAATATATATACATATATGTATATAGCTTCGGGACGTGTCTCTTGGGACTAGTGGCAGCCAAAAGGGAAGTGCTATGGATTAAAACTTGCCATGTGCCCAGGATGATTGTCCAATAACTTTGGGCGCATAGCTGAAATTCCAGCCGAGCACGTTGTACGGAATACACCAAATTTCAGACCCGAACCTCTACGAACAGAGCCGAGCCGAGTCGGGCTTAAGCAGGGAGAGACACAGAGAGAGAGAGAGAGAGACACAGCGTGTGTGTGGGGCTTAAAAGAGCGCCTAAAACTATATAAGAGAGAGCTTAACGTAGGTAGCCGAACTCTTTTGCACTTTCAGCGGATTCTTTGCGCACATGTAGCATAGTACATACATGCATACATGCATACATATATACATAGAGCTAACAAAGTTCTATAACCTGTAGGCAAATGACTTTCCCTTTTAAAAGTCTTATCTCTATGTGTGTACATATTAAGATAAACGCAGATATCACCTAGTAACCGACTGCAGTATCTTTTTGGGTAGTGATGGGAAAGTGGGCTTATCTGTGTCACCCACCCACCCTCCTCTTCTGCTACTTAACTCATAATTTTATTATCATTTTAATAACAATTAAAATGCATTGGGTTTTTGCCAAGGGTTGGAACGAAGCGATCTTTTTTTTCCTTCTGAATGAATCAGAATGAAGGATCATAAAAAAACGTCTGAAGACAAATGGAAAATATTGAAATGAAATATTGTCATGCTATGACAAATCCTCTAGGAAATGACTAAAGATTTAACGTTACTTTTGGGGAGAAAATGATAATATAGAAGAGTTGGACTCACCCGCTATGCTCCTGCCTAGAATTATGAGACATCGGTCCGAAGCCCCATTCATACGTACATAACCATTCGATGTCGGTCAAGAGCAATCTACTGATCGCGTCAGTGGACAAAAATAGTTGCTCCATTCCACATATGTACATAAATGTCTTCTATTGCAAATTACCATATGTAGCAATTGACCTTATTGTATATTAAATATTTTCTTTAATCAAGCGCAGCAGTAAGAATTAATCAATTAAAAGACGGAGAGCTCGTTTGCCAAATTAAAGTATAGTTGGAAATTAAAAATCCATTTCGCTTGGCTTTCAGTTCTTGCTATTTGCGCTGCTGCAGCCTCGGAGAGCAATCAAATTGAAATACCCCCCCCAAAAAAAAACAACAACAACCATGATGTGGAATTGTTGTGTGGGTGTGTGCCTGGAGAGGCCTTTGGCTATTAATGAATAACAGCCAAAGATTCCGGGAAAACTGATCGGCAGCAGGCAGCAGGGCGTTGCATTGGGGCAGCAGCAGTAGCAGCAGCAGCTATGCCACGCTTGTTTTGTAATTAACAACAAACGGCCGGCCGGCCAGCCGGCAGCCAACATAAAACAGCAGCCAAAACAGTAAATGTTACAAAACAACCATAAAATTGAGGGGAAAGTACATAAGTACATATACACACAGACACCGAACAGTTCATACCCTCGATGCTTCTGCACATAAAACCCATCCAAATCCACGAGTATGCTGCTCGAAGTGTAGTTGCTGCTGCTTCCAAATGCTAATGATCAAAGGCACTCGAGGCGCGACTGGAGAGAGAGAACTGAATGCGGAACCAAACCATCTGATGCTGACCACAGACCACAAGCCACAAGCCACACTGTATCTAGCTGTCCATCTATCTATCCATGTATGGTATCTATCCAGATCTATATATCGCATTGTATCATCTTAATAATTAACGCATTCGAATCATTAGCCGGCCGACAGCACGCGCAGCCATAAACTTTTGTTTAGCAGCAAATGCCAAAATAGCATAAAAATACGATGTTGCCACAGAGAGCACCATACCATAGGATCGCAGGCCATATTGGGATCTTACACTAGTATCGTAGCTATCTTGCATTTGTGCAATTTCAAAGACTGGAGGGGGGACGGCCTCCAAGCAACTTGAAGATCACAGCAAAAAAAAAAAAAACGGAAAGAGCTGTGAAGGGCCATAGACTATGGATTGGATGAGTATCCGAATCAGACGACGCGCTGTCTGTTTATCCGTCCGTGCGTCCAACACGCGCAGACCTCTTAGACTCAATTCCGCGCTGTACGTATACAAATGGAAGAGAGTGTGCGTTTGTGTGTGTATGAGTGTGCGAGTTTTTGTTTTGTTGTTGTTATGTGCGTGAGTTGCCGGCGCTTTTTCATTTCAGTGTGCTCCACCAGCGCTCCATTCGATTGGATTCTTTTTTGTTTTTTTTTTTTTTGCTCACCCACACACTTGATTGATAAATATTGATCCTGATTGAATGATGGAAAGCTTGCAAGAGCCCGAAAACAGCAAATTCAGACCATCCGAGAGGCCACTGAAATTATTAAGAGCTCAGGTTTTTAAGTTCCTCTGACAGCTGCTCAATCAAATCGAATCAAATATTTGGGCTAACTAAACAGAAACCTTTTTTTTTTGTAGAGTCGTCCCGCAAAGGCCTCCAAACTCCTCCTCCTCCTCCGCCACCGCCATGGACATGATCGGATTGAATTGTGCCTCAGATGGGTGATGTCTAAATTCTGAAAAATTCGCAAAAATCAAACTCAATTACGTGCGCTGTCAATCAGCGGACAGGAATCGGAATCGAAAAACCGAACACCGAGAGAGACATGCGTAAGAAGCGTTTGTTGTACTCCCATAGTTCCGTGGCGTATCTCGAAGATACATTTCACTTAACTGTATGGTAAATATCATCCATTCCCCTACCCCTACCCCAGGCCCAGCCCCAAGCCCCAGCCCTGGCCGGCCCATTCACTATGACAGCAGACGCACAGATGGTGATCTAAAATGGGGATGAGATGGGGTCGGGAGCTGGCAGCTGGGAGCTGGGCGACGTGCGTTGACCCTGAGACCAACCAAGCAGCGCCCACGCAATGCGCAAAATATAAACTAATATAGTGGTTTATATATAGATTTATATACACACATACATATGTATGTATATGCGACTACGATTGTCGATTCCTTGAGGTTGAAACGTTCGCCAGAGAGCATCCAGTGGGCCTGCAAAATTCTATCCACTATGCTTGCAAATATTTATGAGTATCAGATGGGCAAGAAGTACTTGAATTTAGATGGAATGGAAAACATTTCTGAATATGAAAGTACAATGGGAAGTACCGCTAATATCATAAAAGATGAGTGCCCGCTGAAAGGCAAGATCATAAAAATAATCGACTAAAATTCAACTATGTAGATATTGTATACTGCCCACAGATTATTATTATATTTTTGGTTCTTTGGCTGCAGAAAGACATTAGGCATCTGCAGATGGTTCCGGCCTTACCAGGAGACGTTGAACCCCTTGCAGAAATGCCCCCTGTGCAGCTCTCCCTTGGACATGTACCTCTCTCAGCTTACTGTAATGGAACCCCAAGCCCACTCCTGGCGTTGGCCAGTGCACTGGCCTTCAATTGAAAATCGTGCGAGTCTTCTTGTTGTTGTTTGAAATCATTCAATGGATATGAATCGGTTTTATATAAGGCATTAACTTGATACTGGGTAGTGCAGCAGACCAAAAATGAAAGAATGAAATGTATATTTCTTTCTGTATAATTCGTTGGCTCATTGATTCCGAAAACGTAATTGAATGCAGCGATTACAATGTGGAATATTCATACGTACATACATACATACAGATGTACATATGTATGTATGTACGATATTTGCTTATGTGCAATACCAGGGGCGTATTAGAAGTGAGCAAACAAAAACTGTCCAAAATGCAGACAAATTAACATACGATATGAAATAATGTCGACTGTGCGCTGCCGCGTCAGCAGCTCTCTCCAATTGCAAATAAAAAATTAAAAAAAACAGAACAGAACAGAACGAACTGACATGAGCGGCTTATGGCTTTCGACTGATGGCCTTTTGCTGCTGCTGCTGCTGCTAAGCCTAAGCTTTTGTTTACGCCTCTGGAAAATGGGCTCGTTCCGTAGAATTGCACATGCCACAGAAGATACAACACCACTCGATCGGGGCATGCCACTTGGTTCAGGCGTTCAGCTGTTGCACCAGTCACCTTCGCAGAATCAGACGCAAGGCACAGACAGCAGCTGCAACCATTTGCGTGCTGCTGAAGACACCAAGTGGCTAGAAACAGGAGTTTGCTATGGTGCTTGCAACACCACCACCGCCGCCGGCAGCTGGAGTCGCCTTGAACTATTGACATTATTGTGGCGCGTTTTAATTACTGTGGCTGTGTGTATGTAATATGTAAATACTGAATGGCGCTGTGGACCAGCTCAGCTCAGCTCTAGGCTGTTGCAAAATGCTAGGAGGGAGTGGCTGTGGCAACGGCAACGGCAGCCGATGCTGGCTATCGGAGGCGCTACTTCCCGTTTCGGTAGCGCCGACAATTGTCATAATGATTTATAAACATGCAACACTGTCAGCTATAAATTACCTAATAATGGCCATAATTAGTTGCTGCAACTGCTGAAGAAAAAAGCAACCCCCTACCACACCCCCCAATCATCATGCTCGTAGCTGTGGGTGTCTGGGCACTGTCCATCGTAATTGACCTTTTTGCCACGACTCGCGCCCAGTGTCCGGACTCCGGACCCAGAAAAGCCAAGAAAATGTATAAATATCATGTAAATTGTCACGTATTAATCGTTCGCACATTAGTCTTCCCATTCGGAGTCGTAGTCACATATGCAAAGCAGAACCAGGGCAAGAAAATCAGCCACAAGCCATGTCCATGTCCATGTCCCCTACCCATGTAACGTGCATGTAACTTGGAAGGTATTAAATTACAAGTACAATGGCATCGACATGGCCCAACGCCTACAGCTTATCATGGGATGGGGGGCGTTGGAGGAATGTACAAAATATTTATTACAATAAACTGTGCACACTCATATGCGAGTATTTCCTTGCCATTTATTAACTAAATTAATAAGACAAAGCCAACCCACAACTACAGAAGCTCAGCGAATATTCTTCCCAGAGGCATATGGCTAAAGAATTCATTTCCAAAGATGTCATTAATTGTTGTGATTTATGGATATGCATTTTGCTGCTTCATTCATTAAATCAGCAAGTAATACGAATTAACTATAAGCTTAAGCGCTATCTTGGCTATAATTAAATATGTAAAAGCCATAAACTATCCCCAGTAATGCATTCGTGATTTGTGGCGCTAAGCAGAAATACTGGATAGAATTATGATTTTTTTTTCTATTTTATAGGATACATAAAGTTGCACTAAAATAGTTATTATTTTTATTTTTCATAGTTTTGAACACCAAATAAAATTTACAAAATATATTTAAATGTCTTTTAATTATTTCAGCACTATCGAACACTGTTCTGGGCAACCTTTCCAGCACTACAAAAAAGAAAGGACTGTCAATAGGGAAATTATTTTTATTTGCTTGTGGAAAACTCACCCTCTGTGAGTGCCGGTGTCGCTGTCGTATCGCTAACAACAATGAGCACCAACACAGGGGACAGCAGTCTCCTGGGCAACCAGACATCCAGCCCGAGCGAGGAAAAACCTAAACAAAAGTCAAAGAAAAACAAGAAAGAGTCCAAAATGTGCCAAGGGAGAGGAGCTCCGCTGACATGGACTCGAAACCCACTGCCAGTTACTTTAGTCTGAGCATCACGGGCCAAATCGTATCCGCCACATTTCCACTGGGCCCCGACAAGGAGTTTGTCTTCCTGCGCTACGAACTGGTGGCCGGTGCCGACTGGCAACTAGCCTCTGGCCCGCAGCACGGACTCACGCAGCTGGCCACCAACAAAAGTGGACACTTCAACGAACCGATTGTCTTCAATATGCCCATCGAGGTGACCTACAGGAGCACCAGTCCCTTTGGCTGTAAGCAGTGAAATCTTCAGTCTGATTTTCCGCAAAGTTTACTCACATTTCCATTGCAGGGCCGCAGCTGCTGGTGAGTGTGTTTGGCCGCGGTGGCATGGGACGCGAGTCCCTGCTGGGCTATGCCCACATACACCTTCCCGTGTTCGGTAGTCGTCCAAGCACCGACCAGAACACCATGCTGGAAGCACCCATCCTGATGCCCAAGTGCCCAAATATGATAGCCGATGTGACGAGTTGGCTGCTGCGTCGCGAGCCAGAACTGAAGGATCCCAAGGTGCTGCTAGACAGCATGAAGTGCAAAGGTAGAACCATCACACAAATCTCTCTCCAGAGAGTGCTGTAATCTGTCTCTGTTTTAGTGCTCTCCATGGAGTCCTACGGCAGCCTGGAGTTTCAGCTGCACACGATCATGAGGGGAGCCCGCAAACTGGGCTACAACTGGCATGCCTGAGGCATGTGGCGGGCCCTGGATGTGTGTCAATAAAACGTGAACTTAACGAATCAGGGAAGCGTTTTGTCTTAATCTAATTGGCCTGTGGTGGTTGGGTTGGGCGATTGGCTTTGCCTCAAACTTGACCTTGCCTTGTGGCTAAGACGCGACGCGAAAATGACGCGACCGTCGGCTAATCCGACGCAAGAAATTTGCAGCCAATAGCTTTGGATTGGCCAAGTGCATCCTAATTGGATTAGGGCAATTAGGCTAAGATTGGCTGGACTCAAGTGGCCAATATAAAGCTGTGGCTGTGTTTACGCCCAAGGCATTCGCGCCGAGTCCAGCGCCACAAGTAGAGTCTGCTATGGACAGCAAATAGTAGCCAGCAGCAGCAGCACCAGCAGAGTCCCCCCACAGTTTGAAACGAAGTCCACACCACCGAAGTTCGAGCTCCGAAGCGTAGCCATGTTGAGCCTAAATCCACCCACCTACGCCTACATGCGGGATGGACGCAATCTCAGTCTGGCTGAGAGCGTGCCCGCCGAGATCATGCACATGGTGGATCCCTACTGGTACCAATGGCCCCCACTGGAGCCCATGTGGTTCGGTATTATCGGCTTTGTGATCGCCATACTCGGCACCATGTCGCTCACGGGCAACTTCATTGTGATGTACATATTCACCTCGTCGAAGGGTCTGCGCACGCCCTCGAACATGTTTGTGGTGAATCTCGCCTTCTCCGACTTCATGATGATGTTCACGATGTTCCCGCCGGTGGTGCTGAACGGGTTCTACGGCACCTGGATCATGGGTCCCTTCCTGTGCGAGCTGTACGGCCTGTTTGGCTCCCTCTTCGGCTGTGTCTCCATCTGGTCGATGACGCTCATCGCCTACGACCGCTACTGTGTCATTGTCAAGGGCATGGCCAGGAAACCACTGACGACCACCTCGGCAGTGATCCGCCTGATGGTCGTGTGGACCATCTGCGGAGCGTGGGCTCTGATGCCGCTGTTCGGCTGGAACAGGTATGTGCCTGAGGGCAATATGACAGCCTGCGGCACGGACTACTTTGCCAAGGACTGGTGGAATCGCTCCTACATCATTGTCTACTCGCTGTGGGTGTATCTCACGCCACTGCTGACGATTATATTCTCCTACTGGCACATCATGAAGGTAGGATGGGTGCTCCCAATTGAGGCAGGCGACTTCTACAGGTGTGTGTGTGTTCTCTTTGCTTTCAGGCGGTGGCTGCCCACGAGAAGGCCATGCGGGAGCAGGCCAAGAAGATGAATGTGGCATCGCTGCGCAACAGCGAGGCCGACAAGAGCAAGGCCATCGAAATCAAGTTGGCCAAGGTGGCTCTGACTACCATATCGCTGTGGTTCTTTGCCTGGACACCGTACACCATCATCAACTATGCGGGCATCTTCGAGTCGATGCACCTGAGTCCACTCAGCACCATTTGCGGATCCGTATTCGCCAAGGCAAATGCCGTATGCAATCCCATTGTCTATGGCTTGAGGTGGGTGGGAATTTTATTATACCCGCAAATTAAATTAAATTATTATTTCTCTCTCTTCGCTCTGTGTATTATGCAGCCACCCCAAGTACAAGCAGGTGCTCAAGGAGAAGATACCATGCTTGGCCTGTGGCAAGGACGAGCTGGCCTCTGACTCCAGGACTCAGGCAACGGCGGAGATCAACGAATCCCAGGCCTAAAAAAATAAAATAAAGAGACGACGACTGCAGCAGCAGACAAACAAGAAACTGGCGACACAGGAACTGACAGCTTTAGAGATCTACAAACATGGCTTACACTAAGAAACCAATTTTGCATATAGACAAACACAAAGAAAACTGAAGAAAAAACCACAAAAAAAGTTGGCAATGAAAAAATGTAAAAAAAAAAAAACTAAGAAGAGGTTAAAAATATAAACAACTGCAATTGATATAAAATCAAAGTCTATGCGGAGAGTTGTTTAATGAATACGGGTAGCGCGTCATGCGGCAGCGCCCATCGGTTGGTTGAGCGGCGGCTTCCGCCTAAAAAAAAAAAAAGAATGGCGGAAGAATTACGACTACTCGTTTGAATGCTTTATAAAGCATATTGCCCCAAAGAGGTTTTGCGCCTTTATTGGAAAATTAACATCTCAAACATTTCAAGCATTCAGCCGTGGATCATCATGTGAATCGTGGTAAGGGAGGGTCTGTCGGATCAGTGTCATTATCATTATCCATATCATTATCAGTGTGGTGGATCTTCAGTTATTGTAGTAGGTTTGCAGGCCGAGGTCTATCAGGGTGCCATTGTGGTGTCTCTCGCGCAGCTCCTGCGTGTACAGGGCCCTGCCCTGCAGCAATATAAAGTCAATCAGTCTGCGGTCCGAGCTGCGACGCAGCTCATCCGGATCATTGCGTTTGCGTAGATAATTAAAGCAGCAGGTTCTAATGCAGATATGTTTTAGTCTTTTGAATATCTTTGACACCGAAATGCTTACCGAAAATGCTTAGTGCCGCAGGCGTTGGCACACTCTTTGCCGCAGGAGTCGCATGGCATGGCATTGGAGTTGGCGCACATTAACCATATGCCTGTCAGAGAATGGGAATCAGTGTCAAGTGCAGGCAGGCATGGCCAATGCCTCTCTCTACTCACATAGCAAAATGATCTGAAAATGTGCTAGCCAATGCATTCTCGTTGTGTTGTGGTCTCGTGGTGCTGCTCAACAGTTGATGGCGCCGCTCATAGGAGCTGCAATTGTTGGTTGCCTGTGTTGAGTCTCCGTGTAAGCGCAACTGAAAGGATGGAGCAACTGGTTGCCAGGCTTATATATACCCACACAGGATATCCATCCATCCCCACACCACACGGCATGTAAATTTGAAAGTGGTCAATGAAGCATGTTGCCGGCCAACCAACAGAACTCATCCAAGTATGTGGACATGAGCTGCATAATAAATCCAAGCAAAGGGTCGGTCTCGTCTCAGCACACTGACAATTGCAGCTTGCGCAACAAGTTTATGGTGGGGTTTTATTTTTGGGGACGGGTGGGTTTTGTTTCTGGTGATACAGCAGGACAGCAGGATAGGATAGAAAAGTTTTGCATGTGACAAGTTGTGCATAAGAAATAAGTTCATTTTTTTAATAACAATTCCTTTAAAATAAACAAATTAGCAACTTACTATATTCGATATTGTTTAAAAAAATATTTCATACAAATTTCAAATAGAATTAAAATTTAAACCAATAACGTGGTTTCCAGGATATTACGATATTCGAAGTTTACGATAAACAACCTTTTACCAAATATGTGGCAGCACCGTTGATATGTAGCAAAAGTGTAGTTACCGTGTAGTTACCATGTAAAAATGAACGGTTCTATTGAACTTCTTAGCTTCAACCTTATATTATACACAATCCCATAGCGAGCAGTCATAACAATAAGCCAGATTATAGAAAATTGATTCATCTATCTGATAAAATAGTACTTTCAGTTGTTAAAGTCTAAACTAGCTAGTAATATTAAATCGAATATCAAAATTGAGGAATATGGTATTCCTCGACATATTTACCCTCGATAAATCCAAAACATCAGCTGATTTTATGTTCGATTACAAAATTTGCCAAACAGTGTTGCCAACTTTTCACAGAAAAAAGCCGGTTCTACTTGGCAAGAAACAAAGAAAAGCTGAAAATAGATATTTACACTGATCATACCTTATTTACAGAATGCTCTTGGTCGTGTCGGGTTCACTAAATTCCTTAATTTAGACTTAACAAGAATGCCTTGCCTAAAAGCTGCTAAATTCCGCGTTAAAACAATCCTGCCAAATTACCGGTGCTAATATTAAAAAAAGCTAGTTTGCTTAAAGAAAACAGCCAGATTTTATGGATAAAAAGCGGATTTGGCAGCACTATTGCCAAATATTTACATAGGAAAAACGACAGGACAATGTGGGAGCCGCCTCGACTAAGTGCATCGCTGCGGGCCAAAACCGAGCTAGAGGCCAAGAGCCGACGCTTCCATGGCCAGCGGCAAGCTCGCACCGCCACCGCGACATCCACGACGACAAATTCCTATGGGTGAGTTGGGAGATTTCACAACTAATGAAATACCACTGATCGTAATGGCTATGCCCGGCACAGGAAAGAGGAGCAGACCATAGTCAAGCTGCTGGCACAGCTGCCAGCCGAGAAACAGCCCGCCGTCAGGGTGCACATGCAGAAGCTGCGCAATCTGGTGCAGGAATGCATGGGCTACGAGGAACAGCCACAGGTGGTGGAGCATGCGGCCCTGTATCTATTCTGGCTGCTGCACGAACAGCGCGTGGTGCTGGTGGCTACCACCAATCGGCTGCACAGCATGTTCGGCAAGACCTTCGATCGGAAAATGACACAAATCCACGAGTGTGTGCTGGCCGTGGAGCACTCGCTGGAGGAGCACGAGCGCATGGAGCTGAAACGCTGGCAGCAGGCCCAACGCAAGCCCCACAATGTGGCACCGCTCTGGGGCGAAGAGATTGAGGTGATATGCACGCCAGCCGTGTGGCTGGACACCAGCCTGTTGACCAATCTGGCGCCCGATGCACTGCTAAAGAATCGCACCGTGAACAAGTTCTCCATGAAGTACAAAACAAAGGCAGCTCCGGCGACGGCAATGGTCAAGCGGCCGGACGGCGCCAAGCTGAGTCCGGAGCTGCAGTCATTGGTGGACATGGCCGAGAAGCTGGAGGATACGAATTTGCTGGGACGCGTGGGCGACATACTCGGCTCGAAGCGCAGCAACGAGGAGCTGCAGAACGAGCTAATGGAACTGCTGGGCTTTGACTACTTCGAGCTGGTGGGAAAACTGCTGCAGGACCGAGCCAAGATTGCCCAGCAACTGGAACAGTTTGCCACGAGAACACGCCGTGTCAAGGAGGTGAAGCAAAAGCGTCTTCAGACGGCAGCCAGTGGCGTAGGAGGACCCGAAATACGTCCCACCGTCGCCAGTGCCGTGGTGGTGCAGTCCGCACAGGAGAAACAGCTTGGCAAGCTGCAGCGACGGGAGGAGAAGAAACTGCAGCGCATTATGCGCAACATAAAGGATGACGAGGACCAAGAGGAGCCCGGCTGTGCGGTGTCAATACCGGCCATGCAGCTGCGCATGCAGCACCAGCGAATGCTGCTGGAAAACGCCCAGCGAGAGCCGCTCCTGCTGACCACAAAGGCAGTGAAGGCCGACTACCAGGCGGCCCCCATCCGCTATCCGTACGTATTCGACAGCCAATTGGCGGCGAAACAGCACGCTGGCTTCATCGGCGGCAGCCGCATAACCCTGCCGGACAATGCCCAGCGCATCGACAATAAACAGTGGGAGGAGGTTAAGATACCCGCCAGCGAGCCGCCGCCACTGACGGTGGGCAACAAGCGCATACAGATCGACGAACTGGACGATGTGGGCAGGCTGGCGTTTGCCAACTGCAAGGAGCTGAACCGCATCCAGTCTGTGGTCTATCCTGTGGCCTATCACAGCAACGAGAATATGCTGGTGTGCGCACCCACGGGTGCGGGCAAGACGAACGTGGCCATGCTAAGCATTGTGCACACGATACGCTGCCATTTGGAGCAGGGTGTCATCAATCGGGACGAGTTCAAGATCGTCTATATCGCGCCAATGAAAGCCCTGGCCGCCGAAATGGTCGAGAACTTCTCCAAGCGGCTGAAATCTTTGCAGATTTTGGTGCGCGAGCTGACGGGCGATATGCAGCTGACCAAGGCGGAAATGGCAGCCACCCAGATATTGGTAACGACGCCAGAGAAGTGGGATGTGGTCACCAGAAAGGGTAAGCATTCGAATCACAAGAGAGACTTTTGACTGAATCCCCATACACATTTGCAGGTAGCGGCGATGTGGCCTTGATTAGCCTCGTCAAGCTGCTCATCATCGACGAGGTGCATCTGCTGCACGGCGAGCGGGGGCCTGTGGTGGAGGCACTCGTTGCGCGCACTCTGCGCCTCGTCGAGTCCTCCCAGTCGATGATACGCATTGTCGGCCTGTCCGCCACGCTGCCCAACTACGTGGATGTGGCGCACTTTCTGCGGGTGAATCCGATGAAGGGACTCTTCTACTTCGACTCGCGCTTCAGACCGGTGCCGCTGGACACCAACTTCATTGGCATCAAGTCGGTGAAGCCGCTGCAACAAATCGCCGACATGGATCAGTGCTGCTACCAGAAATGTGTCGAGATGGTCCAGCAGGGACACCAAGTGATGGTCTTTGTCCACGCCCGCAATGCCACCGTGCGCACGGCTAATGTTATACGAGAGTTGGCCCAGCAGAACAACACCAGCGCCGCCTTTCTGCCCAATGATTCGAATGCCTTTGGCCTGGCCAATCGCTCGATACAGAAGAGTCGCAATAAGCAGCTGGTTGACCTGTTCTCGTGCGGCCTGGCCATGCATCATGCGGGCATGCTGCGTGCCGATCGCCAAATGGTCGAGAAATACTTCATTGAGGGACACATCTCGGTGCTCGTGTGCACCGCGACTCTGGCGTGGGGCGTCAATTTGCCAGCACATGCGGTTATCATACGGGGCACCGACATCTACGATGCCAAGCATGGCAGCTTCGTGGACCTGGGCATACTGGATGTGCTGCAGATCTTTGGTCGTGCCGGACGACCGCAGTTCGACAAGAGCGGCGTGGGCACCATTATCACCAGCTATGACAAGCTCAATCATTATCTGTCGCTGCTAACGAATCAATTCCCCATCGAGTCGAACTTTGTGCAATGTCTGGCCGATAATCTGAATGCGGAGATCGGTCTGGGCACCATCACCAATGTGGAAGAGGCCATTGAGTGGCTCAGTTATACGTGAGTTTCAGTAATTTAAACCACATTCTCATAGACTTAACATTTCTTAACTCTTTTAAAGCTATTTATTTGTGCGAATGCGCATCAATCCGCATGTCTATGGCATCGAGTATGCGGAACTGCAAAAGGATCCCACGCTGGAGGCACGTCGACGGGCTCTGATAATGTCCGCATCGATGAGTCTGGACAAGGCGCGCATGATGCGTTTCAATCAGCGCACCATGGACATGAACATCACCGATTTGGGTCGCACGGCCTCGCATTTCTACATTAAATACGACACTGTGGAGATATTCAATGAGCTGATGAAACCCTTTATGAACGAGGCCGAAATATTGGCCATGATATCCCAGGCGCAGGAGTTCCAGCAGCTAAAAGTGCGCGACGACGAGCTCGAGGAGCTGGATGAGCTGAGGACGGACTACTGCAAGCTGAAGCCATTTGGTGGCAGCGAAAATGTCTGCGGCAAGGTAAGCTTTTCCCCCTTTTTCCAACTGCTCCTCACAGCCACTTTAAACTGCTTTGTTGTTGTTGTGCGCAGGTAAACATTCTCATTCAGACATATCTGTCCAATGGCTATGTCAAGTCGTTCTCACTGATGTCGGACATGTCGTACATTACAACGAATATTGGCAGGATCACGCGAGCTCTGTTCTCCATTGTGCTGCGGCAGAACAATGCCGTGCTGTCGGGCCGCCTGTTGCAGCTGTGCAAAATGTTCGAGCGGCGGCAATGGGACTTTGATTGCCACCTGCGCCAGTTCCCGGCGATTAATCACGAGACCATTGACAAGCTGGAGCGTCGCGGGCTGAGCGTCTATCGATTGCGTGACATGGAACAGCGTGAGCTGAAGGAATGGCTGCGCAGTGATCGCTATGCCGAGCTGGTCATACGCTCCGCCCAAGAGCTGCCAATGCTGGAGGTGGAGGCCAGCCTGCAGCCCATCACACGCACTGTGCTGCGCATCAAGGTGGACATCTGGGCGAATTTCACGTGGAACGACCGCGTGCACGGCAAGACGTGCCAGAGCTTTTGGTTGTGGATCGAGGATCCCGAATCCAATTACATCTACCACTCGGAACTGTTCCAGCTGAGTCGCAAGTTTGTGTTCAGCGGCCAGCCGCAGCAGCTGGTGATGACCATTCCACTGAAGGAGCCGCTGCCGCCACAGTACTACATTCGAGTGTCCAGCGACAGCTGGCTGGGCAGCACCACATGTGTGCCCCTCTCGTTCCAGCATCTGGTGCTGCCCGAGCATCATCCGCCGCTGACCGAGCTGCTGCCTCTGCGCCCGTTGCCTGTTAGCGCCCTGGACAACGCCCTGTACGAGTCGCTGTACGGATTCACGCACTTCAACCCCATCCAGACGCAGATATTCCACTGCCTCTATCACACGGACAACAACGTGCTCCTGGGTGCCCCCACTGGCAGTGGCAAGACCATCGTCGCAGAGCTGGCCATATTCCGGGCACTGAACGAGGATCCCAAATGCAAGGTGGTCTACATAGCGCCCCTCAAGGCGCTGGTTAAGGAGCGGATAGGCGACTGGGAGAAGCGCTTCCAGCGCTCCTCACTGGGCCTCAAGGTAGTGGAGCTGACGGGCGACGTTACGCCGGATATCCAGGCCATTCGCGAGTCCCAACTGATTGTAACCACACCGGAGAAATGGGACGGCATCAGTCGGTCGTGGCAGACGCGCGAGTATGTGCAGCATGTGGCCCTTATTGTGATCGATGAGATTCATCTGCTGGGCGAGGATCGTGGCCCGGTCATCGAGGTGATTGTCTCACGCACAAACTTCATTCGCTCGCACACGGGTCGCGAAATACGCATAGTGGGCCTGTCGACGGCCCTGGCCAATGCCCAGGATCTGGCCAATTGGCTGGGCATCACCAAAATGGGCCTGTACAACTTTAAGCCGTCAGTGCGGCCGGTGCCGCTGCAGGTGCACATCAATGGCTATCCGGGCAAGCATTACTGCCCCCGCATGGCCACCATGAATCGACCCACCTTCCAGGCCATTCGCACCTACTCCCCCTGCGAGCCCACCATTGTGTTTGTATCCTCGCGACGGCAGACCCGCCTCACGGCTCTGGATCTCATCACGTTCGTGGCCGGCGACGCCAATCCCAAGCAGTTCCTGCACATCAAAGAGTTCGAAATGGAGCTGATACTGCAGAATATACGCGATCAGAATTTAAAATTCTGTTTGGCCTTTGGCATTGGACTGCATCATGCCGGCCTGCAGGAGCAGGATCGCAAGTGTGTGGAGGAGCTGTTCCTGAACCGCAAGATACAGGTGCTGGTGGCCACCGCCACGCTCGCCTGGGGCGTTAATCTGCCCGCCCATCTGGTCGTCATCAAGGGCACCGAGTACTTCGATGGAAAGGTGAAGAAGTACGTGGACATGCCCATTACGGATGTGCTGCAGATGATGGGACGTGCCGGTCGGCCACAGTTCGATAACGAGGGCGTTGCCGTTGTCCTCGTGCATGACGAGAAGAAGAACTTCTACAAGAAGTTCCTCTATGATCCGTTCCCCGTGGAGTCCAGCCTGCTGGGCGTTCTGCCGGAGCACATCAACGCCGAGATTGTGGCCGCCACGGTGCAGACCAAGCAGGCGGCCCTGGACTATCTAACGTGGACGTACTTCTTCAGGCGATTGCTGCGCAATCCCTCGTACTACCAGCTGGAGGGCGTGGAGCCCGAGAATGTGAATGCCTTCATGTCGAATCTCGTGGAGAAAGTCATCTACGAGCTGTCGCAGGCCGCTTGTTTGGTGGAACGCGACGGCTTCCTGGTGCCCACATTCTTGGGGCGTATTAGCTCCTTCTACTATCTGACGTACCGCACCATGAAGCACTTCCTGGAGGATCTGCAGCCGGGCATGGGCACCAGGGAGGTGCTTCTCGCCATAGCCGATTGCTATGAATTTGACCAGCAGCCGGTGCGCCACAACGAGGACAAGTACAACGAGCAGATGGCCGAGACGAGTCGCTACAGGCCGCCATCGGGCACCTGGGACTCGCCCTACACCAAGACGTTCCTCCTGCTTCAGGCCCACTTCTCGCGCCACTCGCTGCCCAATTCGGACTACCTGACGGACACAAAGTCCGCTCTGGACAACGCGACGCGTGTGATGCAGGCCATGGTGGACTACACGGCGGAGCGTGGCTGGCTGTCGACCACATTGGTGGTGCAACAACTCATGCAGAGCGTCATTCAGGCGCGCTGGTTCGATGCCAGTGAATTTCTCACCTTACCTGGCGTCAATGAGGATAATCTGGATGTGTTCCTGAACATTGCCCATGCGGAGCACGACTATTTGACGTTGCCCGTGCTAAAAGAGCTGTGCAGAAAGGAATATGAAGTGCTGGCTGCTCCGCTGCGAGATGCCTTCGAGGAGCACGAGATCGAGCAGATGTACAAGGTAAGATGTGGCTGTGCACCGGCCTTCCTTCCCCCACAGACCTCAATCAGTTACATTTTTCAGGTTATCCAACAACTGCCAGAGATTGCGCTGAAGATGTCTGTGGAGGGTCGCTTCATGGCCGAGGAGTACGCCAAGCGACCGCTCGCTCTGGAGGCGAACACCACATGGCTGCAGCTGCACGCCAACGAAGACTATGTCCTGAGAATTGATCTGCAGCGTCTGAATGCCAGCGGCAGCGGTCATCGTCGTGCCGGTGGACAAAGCGGCTATGCGGTGCACTGTCCAAAATATGCCAAGCCAAAGAACGAGGCCTGGTTCCTCACACTCGGCTCCCAGGCCAATGACGAGCTGCTGGCCATGAAGCGTCTCACGCTGCGTGGTCAGCGCACCACCAATCGCATTTCCTTTCAGGCCACGCCACGACGTGGCCGACTGCAGCTCACATTGTATTTAATGTCCGACTGCCTGATGGGCTTTGATCAGCAGTTCGATCTGAAGTTTGAGATTATCGATGCGAAGGTGCTGTAGGGGGAGTATTTATAACTAAAATAATTGCTTAGCATTCTATTGTTTCGAGGCTTATCCATTAGTTAAGCGCTGTGTTGTGGCTGGGTGAATGAATATTTTCTACCTTTTATACATGCTAGAAAATGTATCCCCCCCCTCCATCACCCCCTGAAGTGTTTTTAGTCGAAATGAACCTATTTGTATTACTGTGTGAGCCCTCAAGATGTGTGCAACATTTCTAGCAGCAGCCCCGTCGAGCACTTTCCCCCCTCAAATCAAAACTTGTGGAATAAAATATGTTTCGTTTAAGTAGCGATCAATTGTAATACAGAAATTGCTTTAGTTTTATTTTTCTCTTTCCCCAGGCCCACGCCCCATGGGTAGCCAGATTCTCTTAAGTAATTTCACCATGCCTATCGCTCTACAAAAACCCTTATCTGTGCCACGAAAGAGTCGAGCCAGACACGCAATTGCTGCCTCTATAAATCGTGGGGTCGTTGCAGCCAACTGCTCAGTTGACTATAGACAGGCTTTCAGTTCAGTTTTCTAAAATGTTTCCATTAATTTTGCTGGCCGGCAGCCTTTTGGCATTGGGCTGGTTCTATGTGCGGCACCACTACGATTACTGGCAGCGTCGTGGCTTTCCCTACGATAAGAATTCGAGCATACCATTCGGTTGCCTGGACAGTGTTTGGCGACGCGAGAAGGGCATGGGCATGGCCATCTACGATGCATATCTGAGCAGCAAGGAGCGCGTGCTGGGCGTTTATTTGCTCTTTCGTCCGGCGGTTTTGGTGCGCGATGCCACACTGGCACGCCGTGTGCTGGCGCAGGATTTCGCCAGCTTCCATGATCGTGGCGTGTATGTCGATGAGGTGAACGATCCGTTGTCGGGCTCGATATTTGCGCTACGTGGCCAGAGTTGGCGTTCCATGCGCCACATGCTGTCGCCGTGCTTTACGTCCGGCAAACTGAAGGGAATGTTCGGCACCTCCGAGGAGATTGCCAACAATATGGTCAACAATCTGCAGCAGACACTGCCGGAGCAGGGCGCTCAGGAGGTGGACCTGAAGTCGGTGATGCAAACGTATGCCATCGATATAATTGCCTCGACCATTTTTGGCTTGGAGTTGAACAGCTTTGTGACGCCGGACAACAAGTTCCGGAATCTGGTGACAATCGCACGGCGCAACACGCGCTTCACCACGCTCTTTGGCATGATGATATTCCTGGTGCCATCGTAAGTCTACGCCGATCCATTTATAATCCAAATTAGGGCTAAAAAGTTTTTTTGTCCGTTGGCAGTGTGGCTAAGTTTCTGTTCTCGTTGGGCTTAAAAAACCCGGTGGGCCTGGCCATGCTGGAAATTGTCAAGGAGACCATTGAGTACCGCGAGAAGCATGGTATTGTGCGCAAGGACCTGCTGCAGCTGCTCATGCAGCTGAGGAATACCGGCGTGGTGGATGAGAGCGATGAGAACATATGGAAAATACAAAAATCCACAACTGGTGAGTGCCCTAGCCCCAACCCAAAACCCATAACTCACAGTACAGCAATTCGTTCTTCTATCCTTTTTTAGAGGAAAACAAATGCCTTTCGCTGGAGGCCATTACGGCCCAGGCTTTCATATTCTACATTGCCGGGCAGGAGACAACCGGATCCACGGCGGCCTTCACGCTGTTCGAGCTGGCGCAGTACCCGGAACTGCTGGAGCGCCTGCAGTCGGAGGTGGATGAGACGCTCGCTCGGCATGGTGGACAGATCAGCTACGATGCGTTGCAGAAGATGGAGTTCCTTGAGCTGTGCGTGCAGGAAACACTGCGCAAGTATCCCGGCCTGCCCATTCTGAATCGCGAATGCACACAGGACTACACGGTGCCAGAGACCAATCATGTGATACCGAAGGGCACTCCGGTGGTTATCTCACTCTATGGCATACACCACGACGCTGAATACTTCCCGGAGCCCGAAAAGTACGATCCCGATCGCTACCTGGAGGAGAATCGCAACTACAGTCCGACGGCATTCATGCCCTTTGGCGAGGGACCCAGGATGTGCATTGCCCAGCGCATGGGACGTGTCAATTCCAAGCTGGCCATTATCAATGTCCTTAAGAATTTCAACGTGGAGGCGATGAGCAAGCAAGAACTGGAATTTACAAACAGCGGCATTGCCCTTACACCCAAGCATGGGGTGAAGGTGCGTCTGTCCAAGCGACTGCCCAAGTGAGCCAGAAATACTTGTGCATAATTATGAAATTCAATACACTGCCACCTGGGGCAGTCGATCGATTCAGATTATGATAGCAGTGAAATGATTGAGTAGTCTTATCATTATCAATGCGATTACCGTTAAGCACTTCGTATATTCTACTATCAATAAATAACAATGTCAACCGAACTGTTTTATGTATAGCGTGCCAGCAAACTAAATTATTTATATTTCTATTTATATATGTCCTTCTTATTTACTTGTATTATGTAACGTAATAAAATCTTTGTGATAACTAGCAAACAATTTCATTTTTAAGTGTTTTTAAACAGCTTCTGCCATTGGGGTCTGAGCTGAGCAGAGCGTAGGTGTTTCGGGAAAATTTCTCATTGGTTTCTCATTGGTGCTACACATTCTGTACATTTAGCTATTGCCGGAATTGGGTCTATCATTTAGATAAATTCATATCTTAGCTACACAAATGAAACACGGGAATCTTGTTAAAATAAAAGTTAATTTACTAAAAAATGCATAACTTTCTCAATTGCCTTTGGACAGTTTTAATGATGACTTAGATTTAATTTAATGCCATCAATATAAAATAATAACAATAATAATATTATTAAAATGCGCAAGCCACCTAAAAACTGTTTTGAATTTGTTTTAAATATTTTAGCGGATATATTGCAATTTATAAAAAATGCTCAACAGATCTGCTCAACCAGGGTAATTTTTTGTTCTCGTATAAAGTACATTCAAAAATTATTCTTTTGCAGCACTGTGATATCATTGTTCAAATTCTTTCGCTGGTCTCATCATCAGAGACTTAACACAGATTTAAACAAAAGAAAAACACACAACACAGTCACATCGAGTCAACAATTTTTATTGGATGCTTTCAATGTAGAATCTCTCTCAGAATACAGGATCAAATATATAGATATATAAGTACATACATATGTATATGTATTATATACAATAACAAAACCGTTGTGATAACTATCAAATTATGGTGTCTCGTGGAGCGGGGGGGGTCCTCAGTTCGTTGTCATTTACATATTCTCACGCTCCTCCTGCATTTGCAGACGTTGGTTGTTCTCCATCATTTTCTGTTTATTCTTCTGCCTGAAAATCTCCTTGCTGGCCTCCTTGATGGCCTCAAAGATCTTCGCCTGTGACATAATTTGCTTTTGCACATTCTCAACAGCTGGTTCGGCATTGATATCGATCAGATCGCTCAGTCCCTCCGACATATACTCATTGTTATAGGGCTTATCGTCAATCTCAGTGCGTTTAATTAGCGAAAAGGGCGGATACGATGGATACGAAGTACGCTTGCGTCCACAACCTAAAGATATTGGGTTTGGACTCGAATGATACCTTGCAGGAAAGGAAACTTTTAGTAGTTTTACCTGTGAATGCATTGCAAAAGGGTCGCTTCTCGTACTTCCATTGTATAACTCCGCTGAGTTTGTGCTGTGCAAAATACAAAAAAAAAAAACCATAAGCTGCATTACTCATTTTTAAAAAATTTGCACATTTATTTAAACGTTTTTTGGTGAAATTCGAACTCTATGGCCGCTGACTTGTATCATTGACAAGTGCGTATGGCAACCAAAACCCAACGAAATACTATCACAATTTGTGTTTTACTTCACTTATGTATAGCTGTGATTATATTTTGTGCTATCAGCTATCAGATTGTGACTTCAGGGACGCTTCTTCAGGTTTATCAATGATTATTCATTTTGGAATTTAAGAACTGCCCAAGTCCCTTAAATAAACGTATGCAATTTCCATAACATGCTATAACTCACATTTGACAAGCTATTCACATCATTGTTTTCCCTTTCCAGCGATGCATTGCCAGAGAGCAGGCAAATCAAGAGCACGACCAGACCCAGGCACATTTTTAGAGAACTCTTCATGGCGATGATGACAAAATGAAAAATGTTGTTTGAATCCGTTTAGAGTTTTGAGCAACGGCCGCTTTGCTTAACACTCGAGAGCCAAATGAAATGGTGCGCTGGCTTGGGCCTCGGTCAACATGTCGGCTACGCAATGTGAGACTTGTTGCTTTCAGCGTGCGACAGGACGTCCTGCGGAGCATGGAATGTATTTTGGTTGCCAGTTAATAGCTTTTTGTGTGTGTTTTCCCGACCTTACCCAGCCCGAACCCCCCATCCCAGCCGAACGACATTGCATTGACGTTTTGCGGCTTTGGTCCTTGATGCTTGCTGCTTGCTGCTTGGTCCTTGCCCTTGCCAAGCGTTCAATATGCATGGCAGCTATTAAAACTGTTGAAATTCTTAAAGAGCAACCAGATCTGCACTGAATTTTTGGGGCAGTGTAGCTGCATGGGCAGCGAGAGAGAAACGGCCGATCTATTTATAAAGAACCGATGCTCACCGATTCCTCAGACGAGACACGACCCAACAATGCCCATGTATTGTACATCATCATCATCACACACAGAGGTTCTTGTAGCAAAATGTGTGTGCATTTTCCTAAAAGATTTCCACACACACCACACCATACACATATGCACGGCGATTTTTTCGGCCAGAAGCCGAGGCAATTTCGAATCGATTCTCTGTGGGAACGGTTCGCGTACTTTTCTCGGCTCCGACAATCAACTGAAGAATTCTACAGTAAGGAAAAAACAGTTGCAACAAGCGCAACAGCATAGACAACAGCCAACAGATAAATTTGATCTGGAAAACTAAATTCATAACTGGAATAATTTTCGTATAAACAAATAGCAACAACAAGAATAAATAATATTTATTACTCTGTGCCACGTTCCGTTTTGGCTTTTGTTTTTTCCGTTTTTCGGTTTTTCCGTGTCCGGAATTGGTGTCGAAAGTGAAGGAATTTCTGTGTCACTTTTACTAAAATAGCATGTGAGTAATTTGGAATTGTATTTGTATAAATAATGCTAATTAATTCACATAATCAAAAATATAATTGCATTATGAGTGTACCATATTTGCAGTACTAGAGTTGGAGCTGGGATAGCTGTTCCCTTTCATATCACATTGCATGCATTTTCATGTTATGTTGCCTGTTGGCTGTTGCCTGTTGCCTGTCTGAATCTTCTGTACCTTGTTATTTCGCTTTTTTGTCTACGTAAAGTAAAAGACCTAAAAATACCACAGCTATTTTGAGTTTTTCTCAATTTTACTGTCACACTTCTTCGGTTTGACAACTTTTTCGCTGTCTCTCCGCTGTCTCTACCCTACCAATTGTAGCCGCCGGCTTTTGCCATTTTCCACCATACCAATTCGTGTACATTTAAGAGTTTTTCCGCATCTTTGTTTATATATGAAAATTGGGAATTTCTCGCATATTTTCTTGTGTCGAAATAATGTAAACATTTCGGGCACGATCGCAGAAATAATTGCGCTGTAAATTACAACATTCAGTGGGGTGGAAGAGGCCGTGCAGATCGTTAAAAATAATAATAATCAAGCATAAAAAGTGAAAATCTTTTGTACAAATTAATGCCAATAAACGCGAACGCGGCCTGTCGGCCCGTAGTGACGTTTGCCTGTTTGGTTGCAGCCAAAGTTTGTCCCCTACATATTTTTAAATACTTATACAGAATATATTTTATTAATTTCCTCACTCGCCTATTTATAGACAAAAAAGATGTCAGAGCCCGCAGCCCAACAACAGCAGCCGCAAAATGGCAAGGAGCGCTCCAAGTCCACGGAGGAGAAAGAGATACCGCGCGAACCGGCGCTCGTCTGCAAAGACATCGATGTAAGTCATTTAAAATAGGGAAGGAAAATGGATGGGTATTCATTTCATATTCCCTCCGCCCATCGCCGCTTCAGATAAAGACTGAACTAGAAAGCCTAGTGAAACTGCTGGATGGCAAGATCTACAAAGAGGAGGAGGTGGCCATGGAGGAGCTGCATCAGTATTTGATCGAGGACGATGGCTCCTGGGCATTGGGTGACAATTTTCTGGTGTTCGTGCAGCGTGTCCTGCGCGATACTCAGGCTTTTTCACCGGACACACGGATACATCTGATACGCACATTGGCCTATGCGGCCCTCAAGGACGATGTGATCATAATTTTGCATCAGGATCGCCGGGATCATACGCTGATGAACTTTGCCCAGGACATTGATAAGCACACACCCGAGGAGCAGCAGGCATGGGCCATGTTTGTGAGTTCAAGCAGAGCCACCCCCCCAGCTGAATTCTCTCTTCAATGATCTCTCTCTCTCTCTCTCTCTCTGCAGATGTGCAATCTCTTTGAGAATGTGGGTCCCTCCGAATGGCTGCTGTACATTTCGGAGTGGGAGTACAATGGCCAGACAACATCCAATATACGAGTCACCACCAAGGTGGCCGTCCACTGCATTCTCTCCAATTGTCCGCAGTTGAAAAATATTGGCAGCATGATCCTCTACAATATTGCCATCAAGGAGGTCAAGACTGTGGTAGGCAACGAATCACCCATTGTGTTCTGCAGTTACTCTAATTACTCTATTTACGCTGCCTTTTTGTCAGGTCTTTGATGACATTGCCGTGGAGCTGGCCATGGCCATTCTGCAGTTCTTCCAGAGCAGTCCCAACGAGGATCAGATCTATCGCACACTGAAGGCACTCGCACGCTTTATCGAGGTATATTGACCTATATATTCCCCCCATTCCCATTCCAATTCCCATGAAGACAGCACCCTGACAGCTGTCAGCTATTGGCATATTTTCCATTATTTGTATTTGTATTTTATTTTTATTTAATTTTATTTGTTTTAGGTCTCGCAAGACGTACCAATGATCATTCAGATGATTGGACCGCATCCAAAACAATTTACCGGCAAGAGCGAGCGTGTCGATGAGCTGGTAAAGATCATAAGTCGCAAAGTGCCCGCCTAGACCCGGATCCGATGTGCGAATCCTTCCAAAACAACCAATAACCATAGTCCCCCCCGCCTCTTTTCTATATAGATTACTCGTATATTTTAGATTTTTTTCTCTTTTTTGTAAAGCATTTTGCGCGACACAATAAACACATTTTGTAGCCCCCAGACAATCGGCGGCAGATTACATGATGGCATCGCCGCAGCACAGTTTCAGGAAGGGGAAGCCACTGCCACCACTGGCACGCAGCTGCAGCCAGTGCTTCTGATTCGAGACGAACATCTCCGAGGGCAGCTGTGTGTCCTGGCCGGCAGCATCCTCTGCAAAAGGAGTCGAAAGTGTAATGTGTGGAGCAGTGCCCCCAAAAAAGATTCAGATTCTTTCGCTTCAACTTACGCGACTTCTTGTCGTACTTGGGCGACTGGCTAATGGAGATGACATCCTCTGGCTTGCGCAGCAGTATCTTGCCCACGCCCTTGCACATGCGCAGCACCTCGTGATTGCTCAGCTTGTCCAGCTGCTGTTCATCCAGCAGAGTGCAGGCCAAAATCCACTCGCGCACATCGTCAAAGTCGTTGAGCAGCCGCACGGCGCCATTGATGCTGAAACGGATGCGCTTCTGGTAGATAAAGTCCAGCCAGGCCTCACAGATCAGCTTCAGGATGAGCTTCAGTATGACAATGTCCTTGGTGGCACGTATGCTGGGCAGGTAGATCCCGTCCAGCACATAGCCCACATACAGGCTCTTCTCCTCGTTGTTGTAGATCTCGCGCTGCCAAAAGTTGGCGGCGGGAAAGCAAAGCGTAAAATTGGCCAGACTAAGAACTCGACACACCGCTGACAATATTTGAACACACTCGTCGGTGGTTTTCTATGGAGCAGGACACACAAAGTGATAGATTGTAGATGGTAGGTAGATCGTTGCTTGACCCACCTTTAATTTGTCTATATTGGCATTGACCTCGGCTATCAGCTTGGTGCGCAGCGCCACACAGACCAGCATTAGGATATCGCTCAGATCGGCAGTGAGTTTGGGCAGTTTAAAGGTAATGAATACATTCAGGCAGAGCTTCACATCGTGCTCCAGTATCTGGAAGAAGCGATCCATTTGCCACTCGCAGCACAGCAGCTTCGCCTGTTCGGTGACCCACAGACGCATCGAGTGCACAGAGTGATCTGAAAGGAGACACAAAACAGTCAGGAGTCTCCCCGCAAAAGCAATCTCCTGCTGCTGCTCATACCCAGCCTATGCAATATGGGTATCTGCTCGGCCACTGGCAGCAGACTGGAATTGTTGTGTGCCTCCAAATTGGAGAAATACTGATTGCTCAAGTTGACCAGATTCGCGAATATGCTGATCCACACGGTGCCCGTTGGAGTGCCAGATAGCTATGGTTAGATAAGGTTATGGCCTGGGTATACTTGGTAGTTGGCAAAGCCGCTCACATTTCTGGGACAATCGCGGTACTGTTCGGCAACGACATCCACCAGACGCTTCGAGTCGTTCGTTGATATGAGGGTCAGGCGGAAGAGCTGATCCCAAATGTTATTGCAGACAAAACCGGTCAGAATTTCACCAATGCCACGCAGCGTAGAGTAGACGGGTTCAGGTATATCTGCGGAAAGGAAATCCAAATCCAAAGTGGGAGAAACTTTCTTTACAAATTTCAGATTTTACCATTCACATTCTGGTGATAGAGCCAGCTGCGTATGGAGTCAATGTGGGTGAGGCTGTAGCAGGAGACGGGCGTGTCTATCCACCAGAGCAGTATGTGATCCAATATGATGCCCACATATGACCAGAGCAAGCGCAAACCCTTCACAATATAAACGTTCATGTCCACAGTGGCGCCGCCCTTGCCATTGTCTGCTGGGGGGCATTAATGGGGGGATTAAAGATATATATACTCTAACCGTTTGTGGAGCACCCACCAAAGATAGTCGGACTAATCTCCGTTGCCTTGGCTATCAGCTGGGCGATGAACACGCGCTCCTTCTGCAGAAAGCTCTCCGTATGCTTGCAGCGCAGACTCTGGTGATCGTGATCCGCATCCTGAAGCTGTAGATTGCCATCGGCAATCTGCATGGCCTTGCAGTCCTGTGCGGAATCACAGTACGGCGGATAGTCGCCGGCGGCAAAGGAAATGTTGAGAGTGCGCAAAATCTCCAGACTGGAGGAGGTGGACTCGAGATTCTGCTGCTCGCGCCAGGCATCCTGCTCGCCCATGTTGAACAGACCGAAGACCAGATCCAGGGCATTCTGCTCCACACGTGTCTGGGCCACCAGCTACAAATACGAATACAAAACAGGATGGAACAAGAGCTCAAAGGAAAGCGGAAACCCACCTGCAGAACGTGGCCAAAATCAATTGGCTTGAGCGTGAGTAGTAGGCCTGGGAACATATTGCTGCACACATTGGCATGCATCTCCTCCTTCCGTTTGCCGCTCAGCTTCGGCTCTCCATCATCGGATTCGGGATCCTCAGCGGCGCACAGCGGCAGCTGCTGCACTTCTGGCTGCTCCAGCAGCGGCTGCTGCACCTTGCGGCACTTGTTGTACAGCTGGGTAATGTGCAGCGCCCAGTTCAGCCACATCTCCGACTGCATGGACTTGCGCAGCAGCAAGCTCAGCTAAAAATGGGGGGAGATCAAGGGAATGGATGCACCATCAATCAGATGAGGCAACCAAAAAGCTGAACCTACCGTTCGCTTGAGCACAAATGTCAGCTGACAGAAGCGCCTGTCGTTGAGCTCCATCACCAGATGGAACTTCTTCATCAGCAGCTGGTTGTAGGGACTGCGCTTGATCTTCTTGGAGAGCGACTGAAAGTCGGCATTTTTGGTCTCATCCTTCAGGTTCCAGTACTGCTCCACCACGCGCTCGCACTCCTCCAAAATGGTATCCTAACAGAGGTAACCACCCACCACATCAGTCGCCCACAGATCATCCGCGCATCAATCATCCAAAAACGATCCACTTACATGCTCGCTGAAGATCGCTGAATTGACATCGATCACAATCCGTTTGCTTATCCGTCGCAGCTCCAGGCCCAATTTGGCGATTTCCGCGAACGTGTGCATCGGCTGGGATTTGTTGCGGCAGTACCATTTCGGAGTGGTGCCCATTTTTGGTTTTTTTTTTGTTTTTTCGGCTGGGGGCCTGGCCGGCGACGCTGGCGGTTGGCAGCCCCAACCCAATGCCCTGACAGACACACACAGCCAATCGCCTGCGCCTCGGCCCTAAACAAATCGCTTTTTAATTATTGTGTCTACCAGGCACGCATCCGTTGTTACGCCGTTCCGTCTTGCCTATTTCCAATGCCTGGCAAATGCAAATTTTTTCGCCATTGTTTGATCGATGGCCGCCAGGACACTCGTGACTCGCGGCCCCCGCAGCCAGGCAACGCACGCATTTGACAGCGGGTAGAGAGCATCATGGTCCCTGGGGTGGAGGGTGGCGAAGCTGGCTACGATTCATGAAGCCTCTTGGCATCGACAGACACGCATTTGTCATGTCTACCCTTTGGGGGCAAAACGGGTACATTCCTTTGACACTTAACATTCGCTAAAGAAATCGCACGCTGGGCATCCGCTAGTCGCTTGCATTCGCTTGCACTTTGCCTGTAAAATTCCTGGGGAAAACCCGCAGGCAAATGATTCAGTTGGCCCGCAGAGACAGAGACAAACGGCAGCTAGTTCAGTATATCCGGCAAGTTTATTGATATAATTATAGATAGGTGTTTGATTTGATTTGATGGTTGCTGTTGCTGCTTTTTGCTATTGTTGAAATGAGCTGTAAATACTTAATCCACAGACTACACTTAAGTGTAGTTACACACTCACTCACTCTCTCCCTCTCTCTCTGGCCCTGCCTGTGCTCTTAATTTGATCATGATCATCTCACATCTATGCCTATAACTCTCTCCTGCTCTGTACACATCAACATCATCTGGTTTTCTTTTTTTGTTTTTGTTTTGTTTTGTTGTTTTGCTATCACATTGAATTGTTACATTTATAGTAGTAGTTGCTGCTGCTGCATGGTTTGCCTGCTTAAAATCATTAAAACACGTTTTAAATTTCATCTGAAACATGTCGGTATACACATACATACACACACGCGCACATTCTCATTAACAAGTGTATTCCGTATTCCGTATCCGTATCCGTAACTGTCTGTATTTGTATTGCATTGTGTGTGGGTGTTTGGGTGTTGTTTTTAGTGGTTTTTTTCGTGTTGTGTTTAGTGTGTGGGGGATTGTTGTTGGGGGACAGTGTTGTATGTAAGGAAGTCAGGAGCAAACATATTGTTTTTCGTTTTTTCTTTTTTTTGTTTGTAAACATTTATGAACATTCCATTCCAGTGAATCTTCTTCGTTTTTTTCGTCGTTCCTCTAGCGCGTTTTACATTGTTCTTTTTTACAAAAAATTAGACTTAAAATTGCTTTTGCTTTTGCGCTTCTCGTAACTACACATACATTTTAGTGGCTGTTGCTTAGTACCTTGTCTCTCTCTCTCGCTATAGCTCTTCGTCTAATTCTTTCGCTTGCTTAATGTCCTTGTTTTGTTTTGTTTTTTTTTTGTTTTCTGAGTTTTTCTGTTGAACTACATAATACATTTAAAATATATATAGAAGTACATAATATTTGTATACATATAGGTATATATATGCTTCTCTTTCGTCTCTACTCCTCTGCTCTGCTCGTATAGTAAAATATATGTATAATGTGTGTGTATATATATTGTATATATATAGATCTGTATGCGCTTATGCCTATTCTAATCATGAATCATGAATCATGAGCCATGGCTCCTCATTCATTCGCTTAATCCTCGTTAGTTGTAGTAGTTGTAGTTGTATTTGTAGTTGTATTTGTAGTTGTAGTAGTATTTGTATCCTGCAGCTCTTCGAGAGTTGGAATATCGTCTTGTAGTTTTAGCACTTGTAACCTTGGGTTATAGTGCCCCGCTAAATAATATGTATCATTGTTATCGTATATGGATTGATATTGCTTCGAATCGGCACCGAATTTCTCATAGTAATGCCCAAATTGCAGCACTTCGCACCGGTGCGAAATGGTCTGCACATCGTTCTCATCATCGTGCGACGATTCAAACAGAGCACCCTACAATAAAAATACATAAAAATATAAATTATAAATAGAATGGAAATATAAATCATTCCAGTGCAAAGATCTCACCGGATACTTCAACTTTGGGCAGCCAGTCGTCTCCTCCGGATGATAGAACCACGCCACTCGCACCACCTTATTGCCTGTGCTTGTCTCCCACATGGACTCGATGCGTCCGATATAGGGACGATCCGGTCTGCCCGTCGAAAGAAATACTGCACTGTCCCCGACCTTAAAAACAAAACAAACAAAAAAACAAAAAACCAAAGAAAATCCAAATTAATTTTGTAACTAATACCAGAAATGTTCGCTCCCTACCGTGATGGTCTCCTTGCCCCTTTTGATTGTTTTATAAAATTGCTTTCTGGCACGGCCCTTGACGCCCCCCTTGCGGTAGGCAACGCCATTCCAACCCCACAGCTGCCTCTCCGGCAGAAAGGCCGCTATCTTGCTGCTGCCCTTGGAGTTGTTATGCTCGACCAGATCCTCGCCCTTGGCCTGCAAGCAAAAACAAAAAGGGGTCAGTGGATGCAGTGACAATAAACCAAATAAATCAGGATCTTGGCTTACCTCATCGGATATCTCGGACATCAGATTGGAGGCACTCTCCTCCTCCATATCCAATTGCTCCGTCTTCACTTTGACCTCCATTTTGACGCGATTTGTATTGGACGCAGGCACAGACGCTGGCGCCGGAACTTCCTCGGCTGCCGTCGAAAAGTCCTGGTTGTTGCCTGCTGCCTGTTGTTCTGGCTCCTCGCTGCCATTCTTGCGGTGATGTTTCTTGTGCTTCTTGCGTTTCTTGTGCTTGTGATGCTTACGGCCGGCAGCCTCATCGCCGACGCCACCTGCAGCATCGCCAGCGGTTGCCAGCTCCGCCGCTTCATTCGTAACGGCAGACACTGACAGCGAGTTGCTGCCGCCGCCGCCGGCGTTGGCATTCTGTGACCTCGACATCTTCTTGAGGCTCTTCTTCAGACGCTTCTTCTCGCTGCGCTGCGTGAACAGCTCCATGGTGGCGGCCAGTGAGGTGGTATTATCGCTATTCATGACAGCACTGTGATGGCTGTGCGAGTCCTCGCAGCCCGACATGTGGGCTGTGGGCTCCTGCGATGTGCAGGGTCCACCACCACTCTCACCACCACTGCGCAGAGCGCCGCGCTTCTGCTTGCCTACTGAGTAGAGGGGATTATCGTTGTACTCTGTGGTTCCATGTGTTGTGGTTGTGGATGTGGGGCAAAAGGAGCGAGGATCAACGAAAATAACAAAGAAGTAAATAAAGGCACGAACAAAGACAAAAACGCACGCACGCACGCACGCACACACACACACACACACACAGAAGAGACTGCACGCGCAGACGAGAAACGAGAAATGGCAGGAAAGATGGAAAGATACTCCCCCCGCCCTCTGGGAGTAGTCCCCTGCATCATATCATACACACCTGCTATGGGATAATCGCTGAGCAGCAGCCGTATATTCTGCAAGCGGATCCTGCCGCTGTCCCCATCATCGAACTCCACGCTGACAAAGTCCGGCGTATGGGTCGTCGGTGTGCTGGGTGCTGCTCCTGCTGCTGCTGCTGCGGCCGTCGTCGCTCCAGCACCCTCCTCAGCTGGTTCCGACTCAATGGCACGGCCCGGATAAAGGCAACGGTACTGCTGACTCCAATAGGCACACAGACGCGTTCCCACCGGCACACAGTCCACGCTCTTGGGCGCCACCTCCAGAATCTGCCACGAAGAGATTCATCTGATTAGTCTGATGGCAGTGCTGGGGATGCAGAACCACTCACCGTATCCTTGAGTATATCCTCGCGGGACATCACATGCGACTTGTTGCCCCGCTCGCCGTCCAGCGTGATGGCATAGACATCGGGCGGACGCAGCGGCTTCATCACGCCCGCATAGAACAGCCCACCCATGTCGGTGAGCACGCGCGTCTCATCGCGGTACAAATGCTCGCTGGTCAGCTGCAGCTCACGATCCGTGGCGCTGGCTCTACGCTTGGCCTCTGTGGGGGCCGTTGGTTGCTCGCCGCCGCCGCTGCCGGCGCCGCCGCTAGGACTGGCCTTTAGCTTGCGCTTCCTGCGCACCAACGAGCAGGAGGACGACGATGATTGCTTGTGCGCCGCAGCGGACGGGGAGGAGCAAGTGGAGGAGCAAATGGAGGTAGCAATTGGGACAATTGGGGCACTTGGGGCACTTGGGGCAACGGCCGCGTCCAGCGCACTCGGCTCGAGGCGCACAAACGATGAGGTAATCGGTGAGCCGCTGTGCGGCAGGGGACTGGGCTCTGTCTGCGGCTGCTGCGGTGGCGGCGGTGGTGGGAACGAGTGCGTCGTCTTTTCCGGAAAGCGCAGAAAGCTTGAAGCCTGCAGGTTGCTGCTTGAGAATTTCGGGAATTTATAATCGCGCAGCGGTGATGATGTTCTAAGGGCGGGAATAATATCTTAGTGAATGCTTTCGTGGCACAGGGTAATCCGCGCACTTACCCCAGAACACTGGACAGCGTTGAGCTGAGCGTCAGTTGTGGCTGTTGCAGCGGCGACAGGGCTGGCTGTACTGCCTGTAGTGGCTGCTGCTGCTGCTGCTGATGCCTGAGACTCTTTCGCTTCTTCTTGAGCTTGGATATCTCGTCCAGCTTCCGTTTCTTCTTGCGATACTGACGCGTAATGTCTGCCAAACGCATCCGCATGCTGCTGTCCATTATGCTGAACACCTTCTTGCCAAAGCGCTGCGCATAGCTGGGATCCATGGACTGCAGCGCTTTGCGTAGCTCCGACTGCAGCTCCTCGTCTTGTAGGTCCTCATCGTCATCCCCGACATCCATCGGGGACGACAGCTGCTGCGCCTCAAGCTGCTGCTGTTGCTGCTGCTGCTGACGGCTGTTGCTACGCCGATGCTTCTTTTTGCTCTTCTTGCTGCAACGCGCCGACTTGCGGCTCTCGCTGGACGAGGACTTGGAATGTTTGTGCTTCTTGCGCTTCGGGGGCGTCGGATCGGTGGACTGCATCGCCGATGTGGTGGGCAGCTCAATGCCCTGCATCGATGGAAATGCTGGCGAGCTTAATGGCATTTGGAAGGAAGATGACGAGGAGAACATCGATCCTCCAGCGGGTGGCACAAAACCAAAGCACGAGGACTTTCCCTCTGGCCCCCCGACAGGCATGTGCATCTGTGTGGGCGTGTATGTGGGCGTGGGCGTGGGTGTGGGTGTGCCTGGCGCTGACGCTGGCGGCGTCGGTGTGGGACTGGGCGTACGCGAATAGGGCGTGGCAAAGAGGCTGCTGCCCTGCACCACTTCCTCCTGGATGCGCTGCTCGGCCAAGGCGCACAGCAGCTTCAAGCCGCCCAATGGTTCCTGCGGCGTGGCCTCCAATTCCATCATTGGCTGCTGCTGCTGCTGCAGTGTCTGCATCGGAGGCGGCGGCGGCGCCACCGGGAGTGGGTGAGGGTGTGGATGCGGGTGTGCAATGTGCTCGATGTGCTCCATTGGCTCCTGTTTCACCCGCACAAACGGCGTGCTATTCGTACTGATGTTTGAGAGCAGCTCCAGCCCCGTCAGATCTTCGGGCGCTGTCTGCGGTGTATCCATGGCTGGCGGAGATCTGTTGGGCATCTGTTCCGCCGACTCATGACTGGCACTGGGTTGAATGTCACTGGACACTGGATTGGTCTGGGTTTGGGTATGGGTATGGGATTGGCTCTGGGATTGGGTTTGGCTCTGGGATTGGGTTTGGGTCTGGGTCTGGGTTTGGGTATGGCACTCGTTTGGCACTTCACTGGTTTTGGTCAGTTCCAGTGGCTGGACCAGGGATATCGACAGGGCATCCTCCGTCATTGGCTCTTGTCCCGTCCTGGTCAGTGGGGGACCGGGACAGGGGTAGCTCAAGCTCTCATCCTCGCTGCATACGGGCGTATCCGTTTGTATATTGACATCCTGCATCTGCGGCAACAGGGCGCCCTGCGGCATGGCCAGCTCCGGCAGCCGTGGCGGTGTCTGTGGTGTCAGTGGTGCGTGCAGCTTAAAGTTGAGCGCCGCCGCTGCCGCTGCCGCCGCCGCCTCATCGCAGGCCGCCCCGGTCATGGGCGTGCCAGCAGCAGACAGATCACTGGCGTTCCCATGCATGGACAGATTCAGCAGCGCAGGCGTCGCGGCAGCGGAGTGGCTGGGCAACGACTGAAACATTTGATGGTGCATCGGATGGCCCGTGCCCATCGCAGCAGCGGCCCCATCCATGGTGGCCGAGGTGGGCGGCGTGGGCAGACGCATCAGATTGAGAGCCTGCTCCTTGTCCCGCATCGACGGCGTCTGCTCCAGCGGCACCAGCGGCGGCAAGGCCAACGGCATTGGATGATGCGTCGAATAGTCCTCCAGCTTCATGCCCTGAGGCGGCAGCAGCAGCGATCCAATGGGCGCCGACTGAGCGGCAGCCGCTGCCAGGCTGAGGAAACGCGAACTGCTGCTCGAACTGAGGCTGCTGGTGCTGCTGGTGACGCCCGCGCTGGCCGCCACAGCCGCCGCCAGGCTCAGGTTGATGGTGGAGTTGGTGGTGGTGGTGCTGCTCGTCTGCTGGTTGCTGCTGTGCTGGCACAGTGTCGAGCTGCCCGTGGCATTGGCCGCCGCGGCCAGGTACAGCTGCAGCGTGGAGGCGTACGATGGTGTTGGGCCCAGCGTTGAGTGGCCACCCATGCCCATGCCCATGCCCATCGAATTGAAGAACAAGTTGGGCGGCGGCTGTAGGGCGGCAGCCGCTGCTGCTGCTGCTGCGGCAGCAGCTGAGCTGCCACCACCTGTGGCTTGGGGTATGTAGGAGGGCCAGACAAAGGCTGTGGCAGCCGCAGCCGCCGCTGCCTGCTGGAACGGATCTGTGGACGTTAAGAGGGGAAAATTTGATATGCCTGCTGTGTGTGCATGGAGACATGGATTTGGATTTAAAGGATCAGGAGCAGGAGTAGGAGGAGTAGGAGGAGAGAAGCGTAGTTATAAAAGCATGAATTAGTTTTTTTTTGTTTTGGTTTGGTTTTTTTGACGATTCAGTTTTCGAAATCAAATTAATTCTAGAACCCGTGCATGCAAATGTGGAGTGCAGAATGCTGAATGTTGTATGGCGTATGCTGTATGGAATAATGCCGGGCGGCATGGACAACACTTACCGAGCGTGGCGGGGGCGGCCGGCAGCAGCACCACCTGTCCGCGGTTCGCCTCGCGCGTATATTGCAGGCCCACCGTGGCGGGTGACATGGAAATCACTGATTCAATGGGTAATGCATCTACAAAAAACGCAACGAAAAAAGACAAATAGTGTAACCAAATAGAGAGGGAGGAGACACCACCACGACGACGACGACGACGACGACGATAGTGTGAAGCGGGGGCGGGGGCTGGGGTAGAATCTTGGAGTGCTCTCTAAACGGGTGGTGGGGGATGGGTGGGGTGTCAGGCAAACTACTCACTTGGATACTGCCAGAATGTTGATGGTGTTCGATTCAGATCATCCGCTGTGGCCGTGCCGGTGGTCATCAGGTCTCCGTTGCCCGTAAAGTACAGATTGCCGCAACTGGTGGCACCTGCAACACACACACACACAAATTCGTATACTTTTATGGTTAATTTGTGTCATAAATTCAATTATTTGCCTGCTCAACTTTTAAACTTTGTTCAGACTTTAGCTGTGTGCGAGCAGAGCCTATCCTATCCTATCCTGTCCTGTCCTTGTGCTGTGTATGTATAAGGGAAAAAGATTGCAATGTCCTTGAACTATGCAGTACATACTCCACACACCCCCCATTGGTCACACGACCCACCCGCCCGCCACACAGCCTGTGGCTGTATAATTTCACATATAATTCAATTAAAGCTGAGTGTTCCAGTGCTCAGTAATTGCATTACATTACTACACTGAGGGAGCTATTAAAAACCATCCAAATAATGGCAGGCAGGCAGATATATAAGAGTATAAGTATGATCCACTCAGAACCCATTTGAAAAACGCAATTAGTTCGACATTATTTGACAAGTGATTCCTTCTTGTTTCTGTCCACCCTGCCAGCCTGTGTGTGTGCCTTGGAAACTAACCACCAAAATGTTATAAATAGAACCCGAATCCCTGACATGCCCAAAAACGGAAGAAAGCAAGGGGGGGAAAAAAAATACAATAACTAAAGCCAGGCGCCAGGGGCCAGGACTAGGACCATTGCCATATGGTCATGTTACCCAAACCATTTTCATCGTGTCGTATTCCTGGATCCCTGCTTCCTGCTCCTGCTCCTGCCAGCCACCAGTCGCTCTTCACTCTACCCCTGTTTGCTCTTCCCAGCATGAGCATCCCTTGTGGCATTTCCCCCGTGTCTACTTTCCACACACCACCTTCTTCTTGTGCCACGAGCAGCAGCAGCAACAGCCGCAGCAGTCGCTAAGTTGTCGGAAAACACCCACCCGAGAGCACTGCCTATGAGTAATCTGTCTTTAGATTCGCGCTTCGATGCCCGCCCCCGCCCACACACACACACACACACACACACACATACACGAGACCCAGTGGGTTTCTTTGAAGCGTGCATCAAACCATCAACGAAGCTGCTTGTGCCCTAAAAGTTGTACATAAATATTCTATCTATTATTCTACCTTTTAAATAGCTTGACTGTCTATAGCAGCAGTGGGGGACCATATTTTAAAATTAAAATAAACAAATTTAAATAAATAACAAAACTTTAAGTGGACCTTAGCAAATTTTAAAAGTCACGCTGAATAAATCTGGGAATGTCTGGGAATAGTAGAAAAAAAAACAGAAAAAAACAACCTACATGTCGTGTGCATGACGCGACGCATTGATGCACGACTCGAATGGTGCTGATGAGCATTTTTGTTGCTGTTGTTGTACTGCTGCCAAATTCAATGAAAAGCCTGTCCATCGCGATGGTTTTTAGCTAAACTTTACGCTTCTCAAAATGTGAGTCACCAAAAATGTTGTTCTATGGCGTGTTTTTTTTTCTGATTCCCCTTATACAGAGAGCGGGCGCGAGGCTTTCATTCTCTCTTGCCCAGTGAATTTTGTTCGGTTCGTTTTGGTTTGTGGTCTGTTTTGGATCCCAGAATAGAATTACAAAATAAAACCTTTGGTGACACGCAAAAGTACGAGTAGACTGCTTCGATATAAGGCTGGAGACTCGACTTGGTTGCAGGAAGGCATTCGTAGGGCATTCGCAGGTCGCGAGCTCTCGAGACCTCTCTTTGCATTTCGCAGAATATGTGTTTCACTTTCGTTTTATTTCCGCTTTAGAAGTTCGTATGATTTACCACCGGTTTCCTTATACGTACAATATACAATATCTACGCTTCAATATTAAAGCCTTCGCGAGGGGAGGGTTAAGTTGAGTCGAGTCGAGTCAGCCGCTGTCACAACAACGACAGCCGACACAGCAGGCGGCCATCATCTCCACATCATATGATTTCTGCCCTCTCAACTTTTGACGGGGTGTTTGCCAGAGAACACCCTCAACTCAACTCGACATTGGGAGCGGGGGACTGAAGGAATTTTTCAATGTTTGTTGAAATCTTATTAGTGGGATAATTGAACGACGGCCATGACGGCCATGCCATGTCCTTTCGCTTTGGCTTTATAAGCATCATAACGATGCCCCTGGGGACGGGTCGGGCGCTCATTAAATGCGCAGACAGGCGCACACACAGAAATCTGGAGCCCCTTAAATTAAATTAGATGCTGCTGCTGCTGCTGATGATGTGATGCCTACTGCCCCCGCGGCCAACACACACACACTTACTCAGGTCAGCGACGCGTATGCCAAAGCAGTTCATATCCTTGCTGAGTGGCTGCTGCTGGAGAGGTAACGCTGACGGGTTGGTCAGTGCCGATACCAGGGCCTCCTGTGGCCGTTTCCGGGCCACGGCAATACCAATGGGCACGGAATTGCCTGAGCATAAAAATAATGAAAATAATGTCGTTGAGTGGATGGAGAACGGGGGCAAGGAAAGGAAACGGTGGGGAAACCTACTTGTGCTGCCATTTGACTTTTCCAGATCGGACACTTTGGGTGATGGCGCCTCGATCTTAACGAGCGTCGTTAGTGTGGACGAAGACATGGTCTTGGAGGTGGCCGATGCGGTAACGGAGGAGGACACTGTGCCCAGGCCAGCGGCTGTGAGCGATGCTGTTGATGATTGTAGATGATGCTGATGCTGCTGCTGCTGGTGGTGATGGTTTAGCGGGTGATGGTTTAGCGGGTGATGGTTTAGCGGCTGGTGGTGCTGATGATGCTGCTGGTGTTGCTGCTGCTGCTGCTGATGGCAATTGTTGGAACTAATCTCGGATACCTGGCAAGGCTCGCGTTTGATCTGCACAAAGGTGTAGGAGGAGTTGGTCTGCTGATGATGATGCAGCGGTGCGACAGCACCCGTGCTGCTTATATAGCCGCCAAACTGATCAAGATGCAACGATGGCGGCACTCCAATGGCCGCTGCTTGCGTCGTCGTGGTGGGCACCAGAAATGTGGCTGTTGCTGTGGCAGCGGCGGCCACCGAGGAACTCAGGACATCCGCGGCATTGCTGGTGGCGTTCCCATTGAATGTGGCCATTTGTTGATATTTTTGTTGTTGTTGTTGTTGTAGTTACTCCAAATTGGTTTGGATTTTTCGAGCTGTTGCTGATGCTAGAACGGCGGTGGGGGCAGCGGCATTTCTCGCGCGCTGTTGCCCCTGGGGACTCTGGAAGGGGACACTTGGGGTCGGTCGGGCTCGCAGTGGCGACGACGTGCTGAGACGCATATACTTCGCGTACTGTCCGGACTCTATACTATGTACATATATCTCTCTATATCTATGTGTATATATTTAAACGGCCACAACTAAAACATCCATTATCTGCGGCACACACTCACACACACACACGCACACACACAGGTATGGACACACAGTCTACATTTTTACAGGTTTTTTCTGCTTTTTGGTGCAACATTCAACGGTTTTGTACCTTTGTGTTTTTATAAATAAATGACATAATCCGACACTACGCGACGTATGCAACTTGCAATATATATATCTATGTGTTCAAAACTGGACCTGTGTGCTCTCTGCTACCAGAGTCCCCCCAAGCACAAACACTGGGCAGAGTCGTGTCGGAGGTGGCGACGGCACGGGCGATGGCGACGGGCGGAGGCGCGACGTTGTGCTGTGTGTGGACAGCGATATTTCCACAGGTCTTGGCGCGTTCAAAGAATTCCCAATGCGATCCCATCTACAAGATGGCACACTGTTTACGACCGCGCGGTTTTTTTTTATTTATTTTTTTATTGTTTTTGCGAATTAGAAATCCCTGCAGCGTGTGGCGATAACGATAACGATAAAAATACCATTCGGCCAAAAAATAAATACCATTAAATACCATACGATACAAAAAGCAGGGCAGTCCGGCGATTAAACGAGACTTAACCCACTTAACACCCCTCTATTTAAAAAGTTGAGTACCCTTTGTTAAACCGCGGAAAATAAAACTGTTTGTAAAGGCTCCTAGTAGCTCCATCCTCTTCTTTACTTACAAAACAAAAATGACCACCGACATCTTTCAACTGTAATGCGTAAAATATGTTAAAGTAACATAAATTTCGTGAAAATATTAAATACCCCCCTGGTTGACAATGGGATAACGTTCTATTTTATTGATTGAAATGATTTTAATATTCAGTTTAATATTACTAGCTAGCTAAGAATTTCAGCACTAAACACACAATTTTATCCGATAGCTAAATTTTTTTTCTGTAAGATTGTCTAAATTTAAAGGTGCTTATTTATTGGATTTTTTGTAAAATTAGGCTTAAGCAAAAACGGCCAAATCATAAATCACAAGTGTGTACGGAATGTGACGTCATTGCTCTCAACCTGTTTCCAAGTATGAATGGACATATGCATACCCTTTATCCCTGAGAATATGTTAAATTTCTGTTATCCAAGCCGCTTTGCAACTAAGTTAATAATGACCTTCCGCATAGAAAAAATTGTCAGTTGTTAATTATCTTAAAATAAAATTTTTGAGTTTTTTTTAAGTTTGATTGTGATTGAAACCGGTTGGAAGACCCAGTCGCGCACATATCAAATTTCAAATTTTATTACACGTCACATAGTAAAAAAATATGTTTGTTAGAAATGCACATGGAATATACAAAGAACAGCATCACATGAGGTCTAGTCAAGCATCTTCCTTATCATGTAGTTCAGAATGCCGCCATTCTTGTAGTACGTAATGTCCACCTCGGTATCGAAGCGTAGCGTTGTCTCGAAAACATTGCCATCGGCCTCGACTTTAATTTTCTGGCCGGGCTTCAAGTCATCGCTCTCGGGCAGGATAATGTTATACAACTCCCGGCCGGTCAGGTACAAGGACTCGGCACTTTGTCCTGGCAGGAACTGAAGGGGAATGACACCCATGCCGACCAGATTCGAGCGGTGTATGCGCTCGTACGACTCCGCTATGACAGCTTTTATGCCCAGTAGAAACGGACCTTTGGCGGCCCAGTCGCGGGAGCTGCCACTGCCGTAGTCCTTGCCAACAATCAGCACCAAGGGCGTCCCTTCCTCCCGATATCGCTCGGCAGCATCAAAAATATCCATCTCCTGCTGGCTGGGCATGTGCAAGGTCCGCGGCCCGGTCTTTGCGGCCAGTTTGTTGACCAGGCGTATGTTGGCAAAGGTTCCACGAGCCATTACCGCATCGTTGCCGCGTCGCGAGCCATACGAATTGAAGTCCCGCGGTGTAAGATTGCGCTCGGACAAATAGCGCGCAGCTGGGGAATTTCTGGCAATGGAGCCCGCCGGCGAGATGTGATCAGTGGTCACAGAGTCGCCCAGAAAGAGCAGACAGCGCGCTCTCTCAATGCTGCCCAGCTGCGGCAGTTGCCGGGTCATGCCCTCAAAGAAAGGCGGTCGTTTGATATAGGTGGACGCTGCACTCCAGGGATACAGCTTGCCATCGGAGACCTCAAGGGTTTGCCAGTCCTGTGAGCCAAGTTCGATTTTGCCTGCAAAGAAAATAAAGTTCAGATTGGAATTTATGGCATTTCCCTCAGTTAAAACTCACTGTAGACCTCCTGGAACATGGCTGGGATGACGTGCTTGCGCTCCACCTCCTGAATCTGGCTGCGTGTCGGCCAAATGTCACGCAGAAACACACCCTTACCGCTGCCATCCACGCCCAGGGGCTGCGTCTCAAAGTCAATGTCCACCCGTCCAGCTATGGCATAGGCAATCACCAGCAGGGGACTGGCCAGATAGTTGGCCCGCGTATTGGGGTGTATGCGCCCCTCGAAGTTGCGATTCCCAGACAAAACACCGCAGCACACCAGGCCGTTCTTCTCGATGGTGTTCACCACATTCTCCTCCAGCGGTCCCGAGTTGCCAATGCAGGTCATGCAGCCGTATCCCACAATATCGAAGCCAAGCTGCTCCAGGTACGGTATGACGCCCGACTCTTTGAGGTAATAGGTAACCACACCAGAGCCCGGCGACAGCGATGTCTTGATGTACGGCAATATGCTGAGACCCTTCTGGACGGCATTCTTGGCCAGCAGACCGGCGCCCAGCATCACCGATGGATTCGATGTATTCGTACAGGAAGTAATCGCTGCAATGACCACCGATCCATGACGTATCTTGTAGCTTTTCCCATCATCCCACTGGAACTCTCCGCTGGCGGCCAAAGCATCTGGCGGCACAGCAAATCCCTTGAAGCCCACTGGACTGGTCAGGCACAATTTGAAATCCTCAAACATGCTCGAAACGGAGACGCGATCGTGCGGCCGTTTGGGCCCCGATACCGATGTGACCACTGTCGAAAGATCCAAGGTAATAGTCTGCAAGCGATCGGGTGAAATTCAAGAGTTAGTCAGAGACACAAACTAAAACAGACCGCAGACCAGCAGCGTACCTCTGTGTATTGTGGGATCCTGATCTTGTAGGGAGTAATCCCGCAGCTGTCGCGTGGCCCTCAGATACTCCCGAATGATGTCGATTTTCTTCTCAGAGCGATCTGCAATGGAAAACTGATTAATATGGATTATTTCACCTTAATATATGCCCTCGTTACTAACTCGTCTGACGCATGTAGCTGAGCGTGTTCTCGTCGATGGGGAAGTACCCGACTGTGGCTCCATATTCCGGACACATATTGCTGATGGTCGCACGATCAGCGATGCTCAGCTCAGCCACACCGGGGCCATAGAACTCCACGAACTTGCCCACAACGCCCAGCTGGCGCAGATGCTTGGTGATGGTCAGCACCAGATCGGTGGAGGTGGCCAGCGGGCCCAGCTTGCCCACCAGCTTGTAGCCAATGACTTCCGGCAGCAGCATAGAGATGGACTGGCCCAGCATCACGGCCTCCGCCTCAATGCCGCCCACACCCCAGCCGAGCACGCCCAGGCCATTGATCATGGTGGTGTGAGAGTCGGTGCCCACAACGCTGTCGGGATATAGCATCTTCGAGCCATCCGTGGCATCACTTTCAAAGACAACGCGCGCCAAGTACTCCAGGTTCACCTGATGCACAATGCCGGAGCCGGGGGGCACAATCAGCATGTTGTCGAACGCCCGGGCGCCCCACTTGAGGAATGTGAAGCGCTCCTTGTTTCGCTCAAACTCCAGCGATTGGTTCTTCGCCAGGGCATCGGAGGTGCGAGCAAAGTCAACCTGCACGGAATGATCGACCACCAGGTCAGCGGGACAGATGGGATTTATCTTTTCGGGATTGCCGCCCAAATCGAGCACGGCATCCCGCATTGCTGCGAAATCAACCACGGCCGGCACACCGGTGAAGTCCTGCACAGATCAAACGGAATGAGATGTGATTGCTGCGCAGAGTGTGGAAGCCTCTACCTGGAGTATGACACGCGCTGGCTTAAAGGAAACTTCAACATCGCTGGCACCCTGCCTGAGATCCGGCGTCCAGTCCAAAATACTCTTCACATCCCCCTCTAGCACGTGGAAGTTGTCACAGTTGCGCACCGCAGACTCGAGCAGAATGCGTATGGAGTAGGGCAATGCATCTGTCCAATAAATTAACATAAAATAAAGTGTTCCACGCAGATTATAAACGGATCGCGTTGTTTACCATATTTGTTGTCAATTTTTGCCAAATCAAAATACTTGTAGACATTGCCGTCTTTTGTGAAGGATTCCTCGAATTGGGAGAAGGGATTGACGCCTGGAATGAAATTGGAGCTACACCATGTGCTTGGAATACGTAAAGAAACACCTACCGGAGCTTGGCATGACTAAGAAGGTCGGGGAAATTGGGAAAAAGAGGAAAAATTGTGAAATTAAATTTTTGTTATCAATTCAGCTGTTTTTCCGATATGTACTAATCGATATATATGATTTCTATCGACTTTAACAGTTACGCGCAATGCTTTTTGAACAAAATATTATTAATATTATTATTTTAAGCAGATTGTAATCCATTGCCAGTTGCATCTGTACCTAGGAGTCACACCAGGCTGCAGGGTCACAAATTTTAGTCGTGGTATTTGGTTCTGGATTCCAGCAGTCGCCGAGACCACGCCACCATATCCACCATTCTGAAAAGGAATTCCCTTTTATACCTCCTCCGGGATATAATACCACACCTTATTTTTATATAATGCCTGTGTGATCTCTTCCGTGGAACCGTTTTTGGGCTTTCGTATACTACGGCAGACCTCTTCTGGAGCCGAAACCATTGCGTTTGTCAATGGTTTATTGTAATAGTTACATTTTAATGCTGCTTATTGTTATGTCACGTATTATGATAGTTATTATAAATAATATATGTATAGGATTATCAACTAGAGCTGCTGCAGAATAAAAGCCAGGGTGCGTACAGTCGATGTAGTGTAGTGCTCCTCCATGCACTACAAGCACATGCGTCGCAGGTGTTTCGATGTCTACAGGTAAATGCGGCGCAGGTCCTTCGGTGTGGTGATCGAATTGCACTGGGGACAAAGCTTGCGCGCACCGAGAGTTTGCAACCAGCACTGCTCGCAGTGCACATGCCAGCAGGAGACGGAGATGGCGGGATTCTTGTAGTCGTCGAGGCAGATCAGGCACTTGAACTTGCTCTGCGACTGGTTCTCGTAGAGGCGCAGCTTGGCCCTGAGGGCCTCGATGACCAGCTGCTGGTTTTGAGAGGCCGAACGCGTGGATCGAGAGGTGGATGGTGACTCCCTGGAGGATGCCACCGCCGCTGATTCAGTCGCTGGCTGCTGCTCCACGGCAGCCTCCACAGTGGCAGTTGCATCGCTGGAATGATTCGGCTTGGGTGTTTCGTTGGACGAAATGAGTCTGCGGACGTAGTTCGTGACATCTGCCTCCGATACATCGCCCCCGGAGTCGCCAGCGTCCACCGTTGGAATCACATCGGCCTCCCCGTACTGTGTGGGTCCGTAGATCTGCGTATCGTCTTCATCCACATTGAGATCTTCGTCCTCGTCCTCGTTGGCCTGCTGGCTGCCATTGTATTTTATGGTCTGGCCCATGTTCAGGGCCGAGTAGCCGCCCTGCACCAGCGTGGACACGCGAATGCGCTTCTGGCCAGCCCACTCGTACTCTTCGTACTCCTCGCTGTCGTCGGTATCGTCGCTGGAGTGATGTTCGCCGTTGGCCTGGCCATTCCGGCGGCTGTTGCGCAGACACTCGTTCGCGTGCTCCTGGATGCGGCCCAGCGGGAAGTTCTTGTTGCACACGGGACAGGCGGAGGTGGCTGGCTCGGATGGGGCAGCCACCGGCGCGGGCGGAGAGGAGGGACGCTTTCGCGTGCGTTGGCGCTGACGGGTCTGGCGATTTTTCTGCACACGCTGGAACACACTCCACGGCTGCCGTCCGCCCGATCCAGACTGTGATGTCGACGTTGTTGTAACGGTCGATGTTGATGCGGTACTTATGTGTGGCGGCACCACTGTGTGCAGGCGCTCCATTTCAACCTGGCAGTGGTCAGCCACCTGGCTGCGCTTGATTTTGACATTGCATGTGGGGCAGATGACATCGTCGTCGTTGGAGAGGTGATAGTTCTCGCCGTTGGACACTGTGTCTGTGGCCATAGTGTCTGGAGGCCTTGCGCGGCACTTTTCTGTCAGAAATTAGCTGGCGAAATTGCTAGTTGAACCTCGATCAGCTTTGTTTTTGTTCACAAAGCCACGCGACGCCAATTTGTTACGTTCTTCGCTGCGGTCTTATCAGTTACGGTCACACTATAAGAGAGATGGTCATACATTTGCTTCCCTTGGATATATCGATACATCGACAATCTGTGATTACAGCTATAAAATCACAGTGATTGATTCCTTGGCATTGATTTAAAAATGTGTAAAGGGCATAAAGAGAAACTTATCAACCTAATATTACTTTTAATTGGATCTACTTCCATCTGAAAGATTGATAAAAATAAATCTGTTGCTGTTACTCGGTCACAGGTCGTGACAAGTAACAGGTATCCAGGTATCGGCCATCACTAATTTTCAGTTGTTGTGATGAGAAGAAAACATTATTATTTTTCACGTTTTTATTTTGTTTTGAGCGTTTAAATACGTCGAGAACTGCTCTAAAAACCATGTAAAAAAGAACCAGAGTGACACGAGCTTTCCGAGCAAACTGTAAGTGTATTTCCGCGCGTATGAAAAGCAGACAACCGACCCGACGCGACGAGAAAAAGTAGCGCAGTTTCCATTTCCACAGTCTGTTCGGTGCGTTCGTATGCGTGTGTATGTGCAATATAATATTGTTGTTGGTATAAACAAAAGTCAATATGTCGCCACTTGATGAAAAGTTAACGGCACAACAAAAGCAACAGCAACTACAACAACAGCAGCAGCAACTGCCACAAAACAACAGCCTTGGTAGCTTCCACAACAAAATGAACGTCCTGCCCCATTACACGATGAGTGGCATGAGCTCCTTCGATGCCGAATCCCTGCCCGATTACTCAGAATTTGATTCCGAATCGGTAACATTGGACTATTACAAGGAGAGGTATTCCCCCCCGCCCAAACGAATTATACAATCTCTCTGTATTTTGCTCTGCATTTTGTTTTGCTTCCGTTTCACACCCACAAAAACCCCACCGCGCCGCCACTTTCATCATCATACTGCCCTGATGTTATTGTTGTTGTATTTCGTGCCCCAAATTCTGCCTGCTCTGTTACGTTCTATATAGCCATTAAATATTCTGATCCTGTTGCCATGCCCCATGCCCTCCCCCTCCCTTACAAACACACTCACCCGTACCGCTGCTATATTCTATATTCACTCATCTGCAAAATAATGTGGTTTTTGTGCTCATTGGAGCCCGCCACTGAGGCGCTATAAATAAACCCCAAAATAATCTCTGTCTGGCCCGCAAAATATTGCAAGATTTTGCTCTTGCCGCTGACAAGCATAAAGAGAATCAGTTTGTCTGCATATATGTACATACAATACATATGTATATATTCGTAGACATTACAAATTGGCGGGTTCCGTGGGATTGAGGGGGGCTCCCCTGCATATGTTTAAGAGTTACCCGTCGTCTCCTTAGATAATGCATACAGCTTGATGGGGCATGCATGCATATGGATTCCATTCACGCCATCGCATAATTAATGACGAATCCATTGAGATGTGCAGTTATGGGCTGCTGCTGCCACCCCCACCAACACCACCCAAGCTCCCATTGCTTCCGTCTTCCGGTTTATGGAACTTCCTGCTGCACTGAAGGAATTCGACCTCTTGGCAGCTTAAAATCATCTGCAGAATCATATTTTCTGGTTGATTATGTAGTTGAATTCCCTGCACATTCCCCCCTGTAGATGCCTTTATTTAATTATAATTGTTGTCGTTCTTGTTGTTGTTGTTGTCAAGTTGTTTTGTTGCATGTTGCTGCTGCTGTAACCGCTTCGCTGTAAATCCCCCAAACGTTGTAATATCTCTCTCCCCCCAACTAACAAAACGTTAATCCTCGTTATCCTGCAGATGTTGAAACGGCTGAAGTTGCCAGCAAACTGAAATTTCGAAACGTACTGGAAGTCGCAGTCCAAACAAAAAAGCAAAACGCGCAAAAACGAAAAGCAATAAAACGCCAATTGAAGCATTTATATACCATATATATATATATACAAAATACTCGATTTTTATCCCTAGCCAGAGTTACTGCCAGCCCCCCCAAGGAATTCCCTGCACATTCTCATCCCAAGCATTCCTAACAAACAAACAAACAAAGAAAAAACTAAAACTAACCAAGCAAACGCATTGAAACGCATTCCAATTAGTAGCTGCGGGCAGCCTGCCTTTGCCTGCATTACATATAGTTGTTAAGGTGAGTTGGTCCGCTTGTCCGTGGTGCGCCCCTTTGCTCGGTTAACTGTGCCATCTAATCGCTGGGCTACTTTCTATTAGCGTACTACGTCCGCCAGCGGAAAAAATGGCGCCGACAACAACGATTGAGACCATCACCATTACGAGGCCACTCAAGGTACGTACAGCGTCGGAATACTAAAGTGGGGGCAAACCCTTAAACCTTTTGCCTTCTGCTAATCCACAGGTGATTGCATTTATTTGTGGCGTCATTGTGGTGGTCCTCATGGTTATGGCCCTGGCCTCCACAGATTGGCTGATGGCCGCTGACTGGCGGCAGGGCCTATTTGTGCACTGCATTGAGGATGATTCGGTGGCGCCGCTGCCTTTTAACATACAGGATCCACCAGGTTGCTACTGGACGCGCGATGTGGGTAAGTACAAAGATAATATGCCAAGAGTTTGGCGCATATATAAATGAAATTTCCTTTATTTAACAGGCTACATCAAGGCCACGGCTGGGCTCTGCATTATCACACTGATAACGGATGTCATTGCCACAGTGCTGACTGGCCTGGGCCTAAAAACGCAGAATCATAATCTAAAATATAAATTCTATCGCATAGCGGTACTGGTGATGCTTGTTTCCTGTAAGCCAAAACTCCAATGAATGCCTCAAGGCAAAGTAAAATTAACTAATTTTTGTTTTCCAGTGCTGGCCGTACTGTCCGCCTTGATCGTGTATCCTGTATGCTTTGCCGGCGAACTGACCATGGGTATGAGCAGCAAGGGCGCCCATTTATTTTGAATTGTATTTAACTTTTTTTGGTTTTGTTTACAGCCAATCGTCGGGTGTGGGAATTTGGCTGGGCCTATGGCGTGGGCTGGGGCGCTGCCATCTTTCTGTTTGGCGCCGTTGTCCTGCTGTTGTGTGACAAGGAATCGGAGGAGATCTACTACAAGGAGAGGAAGATCGTACATGAAAACCAAATGCGCGCCTAGGCAAGGCCGCACGACCTGCCTGACGTCGTTCTTTAGATCTTAAGTATATAGCAGCCAACCAACACACACACACACACAACACACTCACACAAACACAGAGGAACACACACACACACACAGACACACACATAGATTTCGATTTAAATCAGAAAATCAGTCAAGAACTTAAAACAAAGGCAATTTGCAGCTGAACAATAATATTTTTGTTACAAATTATGATTGTGTATGTATCATGGAATCCATTTTAAATCAACAAAAAAAACAAACCGTAGCCATCCATCCAACCCATCCATCCCCACAATCAGCCCTACTCTCCTCAGTACGCGGCATTTGTTTAGCTCCAACAATTAATTAGTTTTGTATTTAGTTTGGAAAGGAATACAAAACAAAAACACATGACATCATGACATATAAAGCTAGAAATTGAGAAAGCTAATCGCATTAATCCCCCCCACACATATACTTATACATATGTATGTATGTATGTATGTAGTACTCGTCGTACACACTTGTATGTAACTACAGTGTGAGCAACGTTTTAGTGTATACTTTTTGGTAGAAACAACGTACGTGGACAGAGGCAAGCCTGAAATTAGGTCTTTTCCACACACTAAACATACTCACATGCATACGCATAACAAAATGTAACCCGTACTCATCATTGTAATCTCTCTCTCTGTCTATCTCTGTCCCACTCTTAACGAATCGTGAACCGAATCCAAATTAGAAATTGTATATGTATACAAAATGTAATCGAAAGAAGTCTTAGGATAGTCTTGGGGCATGGCTACAGCCTTTGGAGACGAGACACAGACAAAGACACCCACACACATAATCATTGTTCCGCGACGATTACGCTTTCAACAAATTGATTTTTTGGTATTTATTTATGTTCAAATCTAACTCGAATATTGTTTGTGTGTACTCGAATATTTTGTTGCTTTTTTTTTGTATCACCTGTTTACCCTGTTGTAAAATAGTTTTAACCAGCACTCTCACTCAAGAGGTATCATCATGTCTGAACCCGTACAGCTAAATTATTGTTTAAGTTCGTACTCTTTTGTAACCAACGATATATTATAGTTTAATAATTTATTAATTTGTGTTTTTACCACACTCCCAACAGACAAAACATATCACATGCGAATGACAAACAAACAAAATAAACGTTTCTTATACACTTTTGTTAACCACTACGAAATGTTTTTTTGTTACGAACGTAAACCATATCAATCAGTTTTACACTATATATATTTATATTTAGTTTTTAGAGTGGTACGTGTATGAGTAAGTAATATTTTAATTTTTATTTCACTCTTTTTAAATCGTTAATATGCTGGGAATGGAGTGTTATTTTTATTTTTAACTTTAATTATTTATTTAATCATCTCGTACTTATTTTGTTTTTGTTTCGTTTGTTTCACTTTTTTTAAATTTAAATTTGTAGCCGAAATTAAGTGAAGCAAAATGCAACCAAATTTTTAATGCAACTTAAAATTACAACAACACAAAAAGGGAATATATATGCTTGAACATCCATATCTATATATATATATATATAGATGCGACCATCGCATCGTATCGTATATATATATATATATATATATATGAGAAGACATGGAACAAATCGTAGGCAGGAACGTGCGGTGAAAAAAAGAAAGAAAGAAAAAACGAAACAAAAACACAATTAATAGCGAGTGTAAGACAACAAAACAAAAAGACAAACAATTGAATTAATTATACATACTATGCTTGCATACACGCATACTATTTATACATAGATATATACATATATATATATATACATATTTGTAGGATCTATAAGTTAAAAGTATGTAACATTTATTAACAACAAAAGGAAAGGGAAAACCAAACATATTAATAACGAAAGCAATTATAAAATGCGAAACTCCACAAAACGTTGCATTACGTTACGTTACGTTACGGGTTTTCCAGCAAACACACAAATTAACACTCGAGTCGAATCGAGGCTCTGTCTCTTCAAACAAAAGAAAACATATTTATATACAACAACAAGAAACACACAATACATATACATTATATAAGTATATATAACTTAGTATATTTATACCTAAAAAGATTTTAACAATTCTTTTTTTTTGTTTTTTTATTGATTTAATTATCAAAACGTATTTGCTAGCGATCCAAATGATGCAAAACATATGCACAGAGCAGATCGTATTTTATTAGCCCTACCATATACCCCTCCTATATGCAAGCCATACCATATACCCCCCGCAGATAACCTAAATATGGATTATTATATTCCGATTCCCATGATCCTCTACCCTCAAATAATCTGTGCAGAACCCTCCTCCCTACCCCACCCGTTACAATGTAAATATTCCAGAAACAGTAAATTAGCGTTAATGTTCACATTGAATATTTGTTTATTAATAACGAACAATTAACAGAACAAACATTTTATAAACATATATAATCAGTAACTATGTTTTGTCATTTCTAACAACAAAAGAAAAAGTACCAACTGACTACATAAACCCCATTTTGTATATCGTTCAAATGAGATCAATTAAAGCTGGTTCCTTTATAAAAAAAAAACATAAACTTGATGAAACGATTCATTGAATTGCTTGCTACTTGATGATTCGTAGCGTATTGGCAGGGCTTCTACTGGGGATCTATCCAATACAAAATTACTACGAAATAAAACCTCTCACAAATTATACACAAATCGCTGTATTACCTACGTTAAATCCACAATAGACAGAGGTACGAAATGCTAAATCGTAACACTATTTATTTTTGCTTTATTATCCTGTGATATGGGCAGCACTTTCTGATTCCTGAATACATAGTCCCATTGCTTAAGTTTATCCTCATCCCGGGACTGCATCAAGTGTCTCCTGCTGTGTCTTCCAGACCCCAACAGTCCCTTTATCAAGTGCTTTATGTGCTCCAAAGGTGTCCGCTGCGCTAGTTGATGAAGTGATGAGGCAAGTGCAAGTACCAAAGTATTTTATAAGCCCCTTTTGCCTAGTGTTGTTAATTGTTAACTTAATAGTTAAATATTTCAGGACAGGAAAGGTTTTTAATTTTTAAAAAAATGTTCTTTATTTTCCATCCATATGTGTTTTTGCACGGTATATAAGTATTCTATCTATTAAAGCCTAAACTGGCATCACACATCGTTGCTGCTGCTGCTCCTTCTGCTCCACTTGGCACTTAGTCTTTTTTGGTAATCAGACCCTGCTTCTTGAGCTGCCGCAGTGCGCACTTGGCTGCCGTACATTTGGCTATTCGGTAGTTGCGCCCAATGCCACGGAACGTGCCCTTGCAGAAGACATCGACGGTGACGCGCACCCGGCGTCCATCGGCCAGTTTCTCGGGCTTGCCGAATTTCGCCGTCTCCGGTTCCAGTTCGAGCAGTTCCCTTATGGGCGACTTTGGCACAGAGTTGCTGAACTGCTCAATTTCGGGACTCATCATATTGCTATAGACATGCCACACCACATCCAGGGACATGTTCGAATCGAGAAAAATGGCCCCAGCAATCGATTCGAAGACATCGCCCAAAGCCTTGGGCACCTCAACGTCCTCCGCATCGTCGCACTCCTCCTCCGACAGCAGGTAGTACTGAAAACGAAGAGGAACAAATTGAATGAAGAATGCAAATATGACAGAATGAGCCTGGCGGCTTACCTCCTCGCTGATGCTGTGTCCGTTCTCCTGCTGGATGCGCACAAACCGATCGATGACATCGTTCAGTCCCGGCGACAGGTGCCGAAAGAACTTGTGGAAGCCGTGTCGCACGGCCAGCGAGGCGAAGATTGTGTTGTTCACCAACGCGGAACGCAGATCGGTGAGTGCGCCGGGCGAATGCTGGCGCGGATCCTCGTACAGGTGGCGTGTGATCAGGTAGTCCAGCACGGCATCGCCCAGGAATTCCAGCCGCTGATAGCAGTCCGTCAGTCGATTGGGCGTGTAGCTGGCGTGTGTCATGGCCTGCAGCAGATAGGAACGATCCCGAAACCTGTACCCCAGGCTCGCCTCAAACTCCTCAAAGCCGCTGAGCAGATGCTCCAGCTCCCGCTCGGCATTGGGGGCATAGTGCAGCAGGGGGCTGCGTGGCGTGGGCCAGGAGCCGTACACCGTCACCATTTGGTTGGCATCGGCGACGGTGCTGCCGGGCGTTCGCTCCACATCGCCGGCAGTGACCGGCTGTCTGTGGTATGGCAGCACACGCACTCCCAGCCAGGCCATAAAGAGCAGGGCACCACGCGGTCCGCACTCAATGAGATACGCGCCAATCAGCGCCTCCACGCAATCGGCAATCGACTTGTCCGGTATGCTGTGCTGCGACACCAGATTGTAGGGTATAAAGCAGCTGAAATCGTTGCAGCTGTCGTTCGATTCGTCCAGCGGCACGGTGGCTGTCGCCTGCTGTTGCGGCGTTGCCTGCTCAGCGCTGCTGCCTTGCAGGCCCAATGCCTCGGCCTTCTCGCGCACCATCTCGCATATTTGGATGCTGCTCAGATTCTTAATGTCCAGCAGATCGGCCAGCTTCCAGTGGTGTGTGGGTATCTTGGCCTCGATCAGCGCCTTCTCCAGCTCCTTGGGCACATAGTAGCACGGCGGCAGCCAGTTGTCGTGCGGCTCAAATTTGGTGGCTATCATATACTCGCCGAGACGCTTGCGCCTGCCCAGCCGATACAGATTCAGATTGGCCACCTGCTTCGAGCGCAGGTGACTCAGCTTGCCCTCGTGCACGTTCTCGTAGGTGATGTACAGATAGGTGGTGATGGCGTACTTGAGGAACGAGTCACCGATCGTCTCCAGGCGCTCCAGATTGATGCCATCGTTGGCATTCGACATGGTCAGTGCCTGCAGTATGACACTGGGACTGGGCCCGGGATGGCCCACCAGCTCTGGCTGCAGGTCAAAGCTAAAGCCAGCGGGCAGTATCATTGGCGGCGCTGCTTTGACGGGACTGGCGGCACTTATCTCCGTCCGATCGTACTGCACGCACAGCTGCTTCTCCTCCAGCTGCAGTCGATGGTGGTCGTTGTAGTTGTCGAAGCTGTCGCCACAGCCCAAGACGCTGTAGATTTCCGCAGCATGTGCGCCCACCCAATCCGCATTCAGCTCAATCAAATCGGACAGCTGAAACTCGGGCCGATCGCCCAATTTGCGGAGCAGCTTCTCCTCGGGCACGTAGGGCAGCAACTGCTTCAGCAGCTCCATCATCGAGCAGGGGCTGACGTGTGCCTCTGCGGGATCGGGTCGCTTCAGCGACAGCTGCTGATCGTGCGGCACCAGCATGCCGCAGCTCTCGATCTCCGACTGCAGCTTGAGTATCGATTGCTCATAGTCCACGCTGGGCTGTGCAATGTCCGCCAGCTGTGGCTGTTGCTCCTCGAACTTGAAGCCAATCAACAGATTCTTCGTCTGCTGGTACTGCCGCTCGTTGGCGTTCGTCGCCTGGATAATGGAGATCTGTTTCTGTCGCTTCTCCACATCCTGGGCCGTCTCAATCGTTTCCGCCTCGTTTTTGGATGTGAATGCAATGCGGCCCGCATCGATATCATTCGCCACCGCATCCTCATCAGAGCTGTAGTTGATATGAAAATAGTTCTGCGGCACACCATGATCATCGTCCCCATAGCTGGAGCCCAGTGAGTTGTCCGAGTCGTAGTAAGTGTAGCTGGGCTTGCCCGCAGCACGACCCTTGCCAGCGGCACTCTGCTGCTGCTGCTGCTGCTGCTGCTGTTGGTTGCTCTTCGTTTTCGGTGGCTTCAGCGATCCATCGGCATTGCTCACATCCCAGAAGGTGGGCGAACCATAGCGTGTCTGCTGATCGCCTGCCAACAAAAAAAAAAAAGGGAAATGATTTATTTGGCCATTACACGCGCATTCCCATGGATCGTTGTGGCTTTCACTTACAGAACTTTACATTGGCCGGCAGCACTGGCAGATAGTCTTCCTCGTCTTCCTCTTCGTCCTCATCGTTGAAGGATTCTATGTCATCGGCCATGTCGTTGGACCATGTCCCAATCTCAATGAAATCATCGTCCGCATCCTGCAGTTTCTGTTCCCCCTCGATGATCAGTTCGTTGGCGCTCTTCTCGACTGTCTTCTCCGCCTCCGTGGGAGCAGCTTCGCTCTCCCCCTCTGGCGGGGCCTCAGTTTCCGCCTCCTTTGCCAGCTGCTTGCCATTCGTGACGGAGGCATCCTTTTGCTTGGACTCACGCGACTTCTTGAGCACCTCCGACAGACTCCAGCCAAAGTCCAGCATTGGCCACTCAAACTCCTCCTCCTGATGGATCTGCTGCCGTCCCAGGCCCAGATCTGCGGACACCTGCTTGCGTATATCATCCGCCAGTAGCAGTCCATTGATGCGATACAGAATGCAGGGCAGGCACACGGCAGTGCGCCACAGCGAGGCCGGAAACGGATGCACGGTGCACAGCTCGGGCACTAGTATCTGCTTCTGTTCGAGATTCTCACGCTTGGCGCGCTTCGTCTCCTCGGAGCTGGTGGGCAGGGCCACGCCCTTGCGATTCACATAGCGCGGCGTGAGGAAATTCAGGCGCGCACTCGTGTGATCCACATCGAGCAGGGGCTGGGCGGCATTCTGTATTGTGAGGCCATACTTAACGAAATAGTAGTGCTTGAAGGTGCGATAGCTGTCGCCCGGGAAGCAGCTCAGCGGCGACAGATGCGGACAGATCTCGGCCACGTAGAAGTACTGCGGCTGATCCTGGTTGCGGTACCAGGGCATAACGACAGCATCCTGAAAGCGCTGCGCATCAAATGGCTGCGCCAGACGCTCCTCATCGGGCACCGAACGCGGCATTGTATTGCCCGTCGCCTGTATGAGCTCCAGGAACTGCCAGTCGATCTTCTTGCTGGCCAGCGGCGACGCCACCGCCGACGTCGACGTCTTGAGTGTGGGCACAATGAAGACACAATTCTCGGTGGAATCGGGATCGAAGAGCATGAGGAACTTCTGCAGACGCAGCACATTGGTGAAGGTGTAGTTGAGGAAGCCATTGATGCAGCCAATCTGTTCGGGCGTCAGCACCACCCGCTCCTTGGCCAGCTCCAGGGAGACCTTCACCTCCCCGGAGCGTGTGAATATCGAGAAGGCGCTCAGCTTGGGTATCCGCTTCATGGTGAGTATGCCAAAGCCCTGCTGCGCATCTTCGGGCGGATAGATCTTCCGGCCCCGCGTATTCTGCTCCTCGGGTATGGGACACTGCAGCGTCAGCTTGATGAAGTACAGGTAGCAGGGCGCTCCGGCCACCGGTCGACAGTCGCAGAACTCCGAGGCAATGCGCTTGTAGTAGTACTGGCGTCGCTTGGTCGTACCCGGTCGCGGCTCGTCGCTCAGCTGCACAATCTGCTCGTCCTCGGGCTCCAGCTCGAAGCACTCCCAGTCGGCCTCCAGGGCCCGGAAGCCCTCCTTGCCAATGGGCTGCAGTTGATCATCCAGTTCACCAATTTTATGCAGCTCCACGCACGCCTGCAGGGCAGCCAGGCGACGCGCCAGCGTCTGTGTGGGCATTGGCAGACCCTTTGTGGAGAAGAGAGAACGTAACGTAAAGGTAAATGCGATTGGGGAATGGCGAGAGGGCCTGGGATACCCACCACAATGTCATGCTTCAGCGGCGAATTGATGGGCAGGCGTAGCGTGTACTGGAAGAGGGTGACGCCCGAGCGCTCGCTGCGCGTACAGCGCCACAGGGCCGTCAGCTTGGTGAAGGTGTCGCTGGGCAGCCGTGCACAGTATTTGTTGACCAGCGCTATGGCCGTGCCCAGATCCACAGAGGCGCCCGTCAGCAGCTGCGGCTTGGGCCGGTACGCCGCCAGGCAGCTGTTGAAGCGTTCCGCCTCCCGCTGCTCCTGCTCGGGTGGCTCTGTGTTGGCACATTTTGAGAGCAGCATCTGTTCGATCTCCCGATACTGGGCCATCTGATGGACCAATGCTTTTGTGGTGCTGGCCAGGCCATCCTGCTCCGCCACTGGCACAGACACAGACACAGAGCTGGTGTCCGTTGGGGCATCTGTGGGCTCTGTGGGTGCTGCGACCTCGCACTGGAAGCGCTTTCTGGGCTTGGGATCGCCACTGGACTGGCTCTCGCTGGGCGGTGTGTTGTTCAGACTGACGGCCTCGTCGCTGGAATTGCTGCTGTCCAAGCAGGCAATGGCTGGCGGCGTCTCGTCCTGGATCTCCTTGATCTCGCAGGCTGTGGGCGGCACACTGCTAAACACCTCCGGATTGAGTATCTTCACCGTGCCGCGGGCCGTGCCAAAGGTATAGGGATCGGAGCCAAGGGAATTCGGCATGGCCGAGTCATCCGAATCGCTGTCCAACTCCGTTGAGTCGCCTGCTCCTCCTCCTGCGCCAGCGCCGCAGATGAAGCGATGACTCCTGTCCGTCAGCTGCACCTCACCAATCGCGGGACTCGTATAGATGGGGGCCACCAGTATAACGTGGTAGGCTGGGGCGGCACGCGCCCGACCCTTGCACTGGACATAGCTGCGGTAGGTGGTCGGGGGATCCCAGCGTATGACCAGATTGCATTTGGGCACATCGATGCCCTCCTCCAGGACCGAGGTGCCGATCAGGACATTGCAGTCGTGCATGCGAAAGCGCTTGAGCACCTCCTCCTGCCTGCGATGCTCCAGCTCGGCCTCCTTGGGCTCCGTGGTGGGATCGGCCACCCGATCTGTGGTGTACTGGCAGCGCAAGAACTTCAGATCGGCATCCCGCTTGCCCATCTCCGCCAGCAGCTCGAACAGCACGCGCGCCGTGTGGTTCTGATTGCAATAGATCAGCGCACACAGCGTATCGCCGCCATCGTGCTGATCCCGATTGTGGCGTCGCGTGTACACACGCCGCCGCACACGATTATGCGAGCTGGAGCCGTGCTTGCCCTTCGCTGGCGACGACTGCGCCTGGGTGGTGGCTGCTGCTGCTGCTGCTGCTGCCGGTGGCGGGGGGCGATGGCTGTTGCGTTTCGGGAACGGTTTGCCCTCTGGATGCTGCAGTATGTGCTCCAGATTGGCCACCAGGCTGCGCGTGTCCGTTGAGGCGTGAGGCTCCAGTTGATCCACCACCTGGCATTTGGTCTCTAGCGCATGGGAGAGCTTATTGAAGTCCGCCTGCTCCACCTGATGGCGCATCTTGCGCAGTCCATCGGCCTGGCCATGGCCATGGCCATGGCCATGACTACCATGACCATGGCTCTCCTCCGGCTTGAAGCAGCGCAGCGTCTGCAGCAGGCGCTTCACCTTGGGACTGGAATATCGCTCAATGGTCTGCCTGGGGTCGCCGGATCCTTGTTGCTTCTGGAATGTGTGATCGCAGAGGGAGTGCAGCTGCACGAGGGCCGTGCTAACGAGGCAGTACAGCAGATAGTGGCGTTCGTGCGGCGTCTTCACCTTCAGCTTTTCGTTGCTCTGATAGAAATGATGGGCGGCCCGCTGCGTGCACCAGGGACCCATCTCATGCAGCACAACCAGCAGCGAGTCGATTACATGCAGCGGATCCAGCTTGGGATCGGGTATATCTGCGACAAGCAAGATGGATGGATGAGAGATTTGAGTCGGCAAGGGTCACACCACACCCACTTACCCTTCAGATCCTCCATGAACTGATCCATGCCGTATATCTCGAACGGATCGTAGCGATGATCCACCAGAAAGGACTTGTGCGTGTTCAGTATATCGGCCAGCACCAGCGACAGCTCATCCATCTCGAACGGCGCACACTGGACGATGTACTCGTGGGGCTTGGAGCAGTAGCGCAGCACGGTGACAATGTCGCTGGCCGTCTCAATGCGACACAGGACATTCTGCTCGAGGGTGACCAGCATGGCGCTCAGTTGTTGCAGCTCGCAGCCAGCGCTGTGCAAGGGACCGGCCAGGCCCAGGATACGCGGTCTGTCCGCGGGCACAGCCGGCAAGATGTGCTCCACAAAAATGGGCAATATCCGCTGATAGACGGCGGTGTCATGGCAGTCCTCGAGCACAATCAGCTCAACGCTGCTCATTGGCAGCTCGCCCGATTCCAGCAGACAGAGAAATCCCTCCGGACTCAAAATGGACACATGATAGTCCGTCCAGCAGTGAGCAAGGGGCACTTGCATGTCCGGCTGCTCCTGCCACACGCGCAGGTCCGTCAGGTGTGTGAGCATCGTGTAAATGGACGCGGGCTCCTTGTCCACGCCCACCTGGCAGCTGAGGTAAACACTAACCTTGCCATGGCGGCGGCCACGCCTGGACAGCTCCTGCAGCAGCTTCAGGGCAATGAACTCCTTGGAGCTCCTGTGGCCCAGGCAGATGATGGTGTTGCGCTCGTAGGCGGCTGCCAGCAGCTCCACTTGGAAGTCACGCGGCGTGAACACCGTCGTGTGCAAATTGTTGTCGCACCAATGGAACGCCATTATGGGCGTCGGCCTGCACCAGGCCGCCTCTGATTCCTATATATCTTCTCTGATTTCAAAGGAATGCTTAATAGCTGCTGCTTCTGCCGGCTTCTTGTTCTCGTCTCGATACCATGCTTCTTGTTCTCTTCCATTTCCCACCCCCCCAATCCGTGCTCGAGGAGATTGCTCGCGTTCCTGGGCGAATGTCAAATAACAGCTGCAAAAAATTTAAATGATCCCATTAATATTTTCAACAGTTAGTTGCAGTGATTTAGGCATTTACCAATTATTTAATTGATTTAATTTCATATTTAAATACATTTGTTCGAACTCGATAGTATCGTTATCGATCAGCTGTGATAGAAGACACGCGCGCAAAAATATTTTATATTTTTTTGAGGGCTCTTTTAGAAAATTTGCAGCACTTATTTGGCTTAAATTAAGCGCTCAGCAAAAGTTAAATAATTTAAAGAGCATTTTATTCATAGAAAAATGTTTTGGTACATTTTTTGAAAAGCGTTTCAAATTTGATACCATGTTATGTTATCGATGGACAGCGACTTGAACGATTGCTAGTTCAAGTCAACCCGCAAATCTTTTATTTTTATTTCTTAAAGGGACAAGGACAAAATGCGTCGCTCGCAGGCTCCTTCCGTGCGTCAGGCAGCAAAACGCGGATATCAAGAAGTGGCGCCGCAAGAGGAGCCGTCGCTGGCTGATTGGCCCGCCGTGACACCAGCCATGGAATGGGGCACAGCCAAGGGCTACGAGAGCATGGGACCACGGGAACTGAAACCCGGCGAAAGTCCACTCAAGGATAGCCGCATCTTTCACGTGCTCTGGCGGAATCAGACCAACAAAAAGCACAAAATTTGGACAGGCAATGGCACCCTGGTGATAACCGAATCTAAGGCCACGCTCAAAGATGACACGGGAAAGGTTGTGGGCAGCATGACATGCTTCCGGCAGAGAAACTACAAAGAAAACGATCAGCTGCAGATTGGCAGCAAGGATGTGGAGCTGCAAGATGAGTTCAAGACCGTCGAGGAGTGCATAGCCTATCGGAAACTGGAAATTGCAAATTGGTGTGCAAAAATTGATGCACTAAACGGCCATGTAGCCACTCCCACTGCGCACAGGGCCATAGATTCACCAGCTTCCACCCAAGTCGAGGGCCATACTGAAGTCAGCAGACCCATTAGGACGTGCCTGCTGAAGAAAGGCAATGCCCCAGCTGTCACCTGCACCCAAATCGAGTACATGTGCTTCCTGCAGCCCGCGGAACTTCAAGCCAAAGCACTTAAGTTTCTCTGTGAACTCAGTCAACGCTCGGACAAGGTAAGAGATCATCAGACCCTGAGGGCGGTGCTAACTTTTTGTTTATTGTAGGAACCCGACATCATTGCTGAAATGGCCAAGCATATTTGCGATCATCCTGTGCTGCTGAAAGCCCGAACTCTCGAGCTGCAAAACTGCAAGGCGATGCAGTTGCTGTTGAGCCAGCTGCCGCCCTGGAAGGAAATGGGTCCCGACGACTCGGCCAAATTTGAGTTTGTGCATCTGATGCTCGATGACTTGGCTGTGGCAGGCGGCCACAAATGCTGCGTTGTCGCCAACAGTCAGGATTGCCTGCAGCTGATCAAAGGCTACTGTCGATCCTATGACATACCACACATGCAGCTGGATAATGCCAGCGATGTGGCGTCGTTTAACTGCACAGAGGATCAGTCGCCCCTGGTTGCCTTGGTATTGGCCAGTCGCGCATCAGAGATACGTTCGCTACGCTGCAAATATTTCATCATTTACAATTATGACGCGAGCTCAAGGGCGGAACAGCTGTTGGCTGGCCAGCAAATGGACACAAAAGTCTATACATTGATTACCGCTGATGAATGCGCAGAGGAGCTGGATTTTTATAGGAGCCTAGAGCTAAACGCTGGCGGCAATATTCTCCAGCTTCGCGCTAAGGCAAAGAACGTGAGTTCTGATAGATTTTAATCATTCTGTTTGACTCTAATGAAAAAAATTTTCCTTCAAGCAGGCTTTGGCCGATTGGTCGAATGTGGAACCACCTTACAGCCAAGAGTTTCTCGAGGTATTACTGTCCTTTATACAACATTTGATGCATTCAGTTTTTATATCTTTTTCATTTAATTTTGCAGCAAGCGTCCATCAGCGTTAGTCTAGAGAGCCTAAGAAACATTTTCATAAAGAAAAAGTCAAATGTGAAGTAAATAAAACAGGGAATGGAACATTTAACGTTGTTGCATGACAACTCTTTGGGGGAAAGCTATAAAGCTTTCTTGCTTTATTTATTATTTTGATTATAGTTGAATGAATGAATATAATGGAACGTCGTTGATTATTTATATAATAGAAAACGAAAAAAAGGGTGTGTTCTACAGTGTAGTACGTGCAGCAGCAGTAGAACACTTTACAAATAATGTTTAATTAATAATTAGAAAAAATTCTCGCTTCTTTGCCTTTTGGTTTTACCCTAGCAGCTTCTGCAGATCGTCCATGCGCAGCGAGTAATTGTTTTCCTTGTTCTTCACGATCTCATCAAAGGTCACACGGGCACCCACTTCCAGACGTTGCTCGAAACGTTTAACCTGCGCATCGGTGAGCTCTTCGGTCAGACCTAAGCACAAATCGGAGTGGAATTGAAATTAGTAAGCTTTGCTTTGCATGGGAAGCGCTCGCTTAAATTTACCAATCAAATCATATTCGGTAGTTAATATGGGATATGTTAATTGCTCCGGATATGCACGGATATCGGTCACATGGATGGGTACAATATTTCCATAGTCCAGAAACAAAATGCTGGGATAGCCATCACCGACAAGCTCCAGCGAAACGCCGCGACACCATTTGCCCATGTACTTGGCAATGCACAGTTCGCCCTTCCTGCAAATGGAAAACTGATTAAAACTCTCTCTTGGCATGTGGAATGGGGGCGTCTGTGCTTACGAAGCAGCATAGGTCTCAGCTTTGGCAATCTTTTCGCCATAGTCTTGGAATGTTCGCTGCATTTTCGTGATCTCCACGGCCAATCCAGCGGGTGTGCAGTAGACGATGCCGTACTTTAGCAACGAATTGTCCGTGATAGTCAAGTCAATGTTCTTGCCTGCTGGCGCAGCCACATGTGGCAGAAACTAAGCAGAGAAAATCACATTAAAAACGCCGAAATTTGAATGAAACTTTAAAGCTTACATCTTCATTGAAACCGCGCTCAGACAGCTTGGGCTCGACGGGTGTTAGAACCTTTTTAATGAAGCTATTCAAACCTCTATTGTTCTCCAGATGGATGAGCACGGCCGACTGCATGTGATGGTCGTAGTCGTAGTCACGCTTGTGGTACTGCAGTTGAAAGACCAAACTTCCCTGAACTGCGTACATTACGTCCCGCAGATGGGGCGTTAAGGCGCGCTTTGGTACACCGCGCAGCTTCACTGGCGTAGCGTAGCGTGGCAAATCACCCACATAGGAGCTGCATTGATAGAGGTTGCCCGGCTCTGTGTACTCAACGCTGCCAAAATCAATGCAGACCACGCATATATCCTTCGGATTGTCCACATTCAGCACCATGGCACGCACAATTTGTGCCTCGAACTTGTAGATCACAATCTGGCCACAAACGGGCAGCTGGTCAAGCTTGGCCGCAGTTTTGCCATGCAGCCAGACCTCAGCGAGCACGCGATAGTAGGCCACATCCGAAAGTATGTCCGCCGGGCGCACATATACCACATTCGACTGCTCGAAGGCAGTGATCTTGACCTTGGAACGGCGTGGCGGTAAACCACATTTGGGTATGAGTTTCTTAAAATTCTCATCATCAATATCAACTTTCTGACCCGTGCCGCATTTCTTGTCGTGCTGCTCGGAGACAATGCTCCAGCACAAGGCATCGCAAAAGGGCATATCGCAAGTTTTGCACACCGTCGTGGTGTAGCCATTACAGGCCACGCAACGTTCATAGCCAGACATGTCCATCTCCTTCTCAACTGCATCAGCCACATTGACATGCACACCATCTACATCCTTGCTACTGCAAGATTAAATATTGTGTCAGGTGTCAGGCCTGTTCACACATTCCTTTATTCTTTTACTTACTCCTTAAATAATTGCCTGCCGCAACGCAGCTGCTGGATCACCGGCTTTGTTGTTGCTTCCTCCTCATATTCTTTCTCCAGTACATAGGCTCCGTGGCGCTCCAAATTAAACTCAAACTTCACATTCAGATAGCGCTTCTTGGCGTCTCTAGTGGCCAGCAGGGAGCCGCTTCTATAGCACGTAGCGTCTACGATGGGCACTGGCAGAAACTCTGGATGCTTATTGGCATTGGCCGAAACGTTTATTGTGCGTGAATTCAAGTCAATGGGTCCGCGATGTGCTGGCACCATTGGTGGACGTCTTACTGGATCGGGTATCCTGTTGGCGGCCCTCTGCATGGACCTATTATCAGCCCTGGAATTTTCCTGGCCGCCGTAACGGCTTCGTTGCAGCTGCATCAATTCAGGAAATGCTTCCAGTGTGCTGTGTGCCGACTCCAAGGAACTGCAGCAACAGATATGCACATATGTAAAACGCATAAGGCACGAGTCCTACTTCCTACTTACCCCAAGTCATTGAAGTAAACTACGAATGTGTCGGAATTTGGCGAAACGTCGATAGTGCGGACATGTTTTTGGCCAAAGAAATTGAGCAACGCGCATTTGCTAATGCTGCTCACTTTTTTCTTTAGAACCAAGTACGGATATTCAGCAATTGCTTTTTTCTTGCCTGTCTTTTTTTTACGCATGTCACTCGGCTTTACGGGCGGGCGCGCTTTTTCAACCACATTTTGGCCAGACGTATCTACGTAGTTATTAACGGATTCGTTGCTGTACTCCAAGTCCATTGGATTCCAGTTAGACCAATCGTTCAAAAGACCATCCATTGTTTCACAACTTGCTCCTGAAGCGCTCAAATTTCGAAAGACGCGTAGATCTCAAATTTCAATGTATGACCCTCAAATATATACCGAAATATACCTTCTCATTGACGGGCTGCTCTGCACGAGGGAAACAGTGTGTTAACCATACAGTATAAAGATCTGAGTACTGAACTTTAGAGTGGGAGAATTATGGCTCTTTTAATGATATGTGCTACTCTTATCTTTTTAAAACCGAGTATACAAAATTGTTTCGTTCATTGGTATATCGTGGTATATTTGTAAAATTAGGTGGTATATTTCTGAGGGTCAGAAGGAATATTTCAGAGCGGTCACACTGACGCCAACAAAAAGTGAAATAAAGTAGGGCCTGGGCGCTGTACAGCAATCGCATTAACCGGCACACGGGTAGCAGATTGAAAGTAAAATGCTACCTTAAAATTGGGCACTGACAGAGCAAATTCGATTTGAATTTGTTTAATTTTTTGCTAATTTTGAATTCCCAACAGTGTGACCGTAAAACAACCGATAGTTCAATATTAGCGGGACTATCGATAAATTATACCGAAATATACATATACCAAAATATACCGAGGAAAAATACAATTTTTAACACACTTAACCCCCACCCGATACTATTTAAAGAGGTAAAAAACGGATTTATATTACTAGCTAATTAGAACTCTCCGTACTGAATAATTTAATATTCTAGAGATTGGACTCTATTTTATTAGATTTTTTGAGAAAATAATGTTTAATGTTCAAAATAAGAGCATAAAGGGCGCCAAGTATCGACTGCAGCCTGAACTTCTTTTTATAACGGTCTGGCAGCGCCAAGTATACTGGAAGTATCGATATATTGATATATCGAAGCGTCATAAGCAAAACAAACGCCTGGAAAATACAAATAAACGTCGCCGCTCTGTTTTAAAAAAATAAACATAAAGTTAGCCATGACCGATATGGCCGTTTTGAACTCGCGCGATATAGATCCATCGGACTACCACGGCCGCCTCAAGCAAATCTTCAGCAACGAAATCCGACTGCAAAACCGCGAGGCGACCATCAGCAAACGGAGCTCCAGATGCCTCAGCAATCTTAGTGAGTCCCCGCCCGCTGGCGTTTATTCCATTGCAGGAGTACATTTAATGCATTTTACAGTCGTCGCCAATGAGGCCATCGAACGGCAGCAACGCGACTTTGGCAAGCTGCGAATAGTGTTGATGAAGCGCAGCCAGGAACTGGAACGTCGATTCGCCTTGGGAGAGGCATTGAAGCAGCAGCTCGACGCCACCCGACAGCATAATGCGGACATGCAGGCGCAGCTGTTGCGCCACACGACGGAGGTCAAGCTACGCAGCAACGAGCTGATGGAATGGTTTGTTTCCGTCCCCTCCCCCCCGAAATATGATCCAGAAAGAAATTTTCTTTGTTTTTTGTTTTGTTTATTTCGGCAGCATGCACACGCTTAAGCAAGCAACGGGTACGTACATCAACCACGAGGCATTGCCCGCGCGTCTCAAAGGTATCAGCGTAGTGCGGGCCAAGGACGGCGCGACCAAGTGGATACCCTTCGATCTGGACGGCAACGAAACGAACGGCCTGCACACGCTGTGGCGGTGTCTGCACACCCGCAGCGACAATGCCAGCAAATGGCGGCAGCTCCTTTCGGTCCAGGAGGTGGCCAAGACCGCTCCAGTTACCCCATGCGGCAATCAGAGAGCGAAATCGAGGTGCAGCAATGTTGTGCCGACATCTATAATTGAGATTGATCTCACCTCGCCGACAAATGACGCCTCATGATTTCCTGCTAGTCAGGACTTCCGTTTGTGCCTTGAAGGTGGTTTGATGTGTTTTGCTCGCGCTCCGGAAAAAAAAAAAGGAAAGAACAAAACTTTGGTTCAAAATTAAATCCATCAACACGGAATACTAGCCGGTTGTTTGTTTAATCGAGCTTCTTATATAAATATTGAATAAATTTGAAGGATTACAATTTTATTAAAGGATTTAGGTGAGTCTTGTGAGTTGAAAGTTTTGGTGAAGCAGAGTGTGAAAGTGGCTGACGCCATGGCGTCGAGCCAGAATTGTGAGTCGATGGAGGATATCTCGTCTGATATGGAAGAGTCATCTGATTTCTCAGCACCGGACAATTCCGGTAAAGCAATTAAGAGAAACGCGATAATTAAAAAGGCAATTTGCAAGGCTCCGCGTATGGACAAAAATGTGTCAGGAAGTAAGGTTAAGGTGAGGCTGGCTAACGAGTTGTTCAGAGGGCTTAAAAGGACATGCTTCTATACTCACAAAGGACGGAAAAGTTTTTTTTTTTGGGGTTTTTAATCAGATTTTTAACAGTGGTGGTGAAAATATTCAAAATATTAGGGTTAAGAATGGTCTGTTCTTCTACGAAAAAATTAAAGGGCTAAAGCTGCCAGGGCTTTGCAATATTGTTGCTTTAGGCATTTCGTCTTACAAGGTATATTTCCAGAATGGAAAGTTTGCAAATGAGGCTGTGAGGAACGTTAATTTAAAAAGCATGAACATATCAGCGTATATACCAGGGGATTATGTAGAAACATATGGAGTTATTAAAAATATCCCTGTTGAAATAACAGATGAAGAAATACTGATGAACATCAAGTCGGACGTAAAATCAGAGACAGGGGCTACTGAAATAGTGTGGGAACCCACTCTATCAGTGAAAATTGGTTTTTCAAATGTAGAAATCCCATCTCATGTTGTTTTGAATTACTGCAGACTGGAAGTTTCTCATTTTTTACGAAATATTTTACAGTGTTTTAACTGTGGACGGATTGGTCACGGTTCAAGAACGTGTAAAGCAAAGAAGCGTTGTCTACGTTGTGGTGCGCCGGAGTGCACATCTCCGAATTGTCAGGTGTACAAATGCATTTTATGTAACAGTAATGAACACACGGCTCGTGATAAGAACGTATGTATGTCCAAAATGGGCACTTGAGGAAAAAATAATGAAAGTTATGTGTGTAAAGAAATTGTCGAGGAAAGAAGTGACATCCCAATACTCGATAAATAATCGATTTGATTTATTATCCCAAAACGAAAATGCTTTTCCTGCTCTACCATCGAAAATGCCTGAGACAATAGATAAAAACGAGCTTGTAAACAATATCATAAATAGTAACCGATACACCTCAACACCTTAGTTCCCCCACAACAAAATTTCCATCATTTTTCATTACCATCTTATACTCATGACACTTCAGAACATAAATTCCAATACCCAGTGAAGGAGGATATAAAGTTTGCTGATATTTGTGCTCAACTTTTTCGCTTAATAACACCATTCATTGATTCGGATGAAGTGTTATGTGAGTCCTTTCAGGATTTAAAAGAAAAATTTATAAGAACAGGCAAATCTAGTAGAATGTTTTTGGAGAAAAGTTTGAATCAGAGCCAGACTTTAAAAACACAATAAACATGTCAGTTAAAATATTTCAATACAACATTCAATCGCTCAAAGCAAATAAAAATGACCTAGAGTTTCTCCTTAATAATGAAGATTTTGATTTTGCGTGTCTTTCTGAGATCTTCTCCCATGGAGATGATCCTACTTTTAGAAACATTTAAAAAATTTAAAGCTGCTGAAAAACTTAGAGCTAACAATTATGGAAGTACTTCGGTACTAGTAAAAAATAAAATTCTTTTCAAAAAAATTCCTTTCATTGCTACATCTGACATATCAATTATACAAACAACCAATTTATCCCGAAATCTCACAATAGCTTCAGCCTATTGTGAGCCAAATGTACCTCTAGATGATTTTAAAACAGACATTAAAAGACTTTTTGATAGCATGGAAAATCTTCAAGATGTATTCATATGTGGAGATTTTAATGCTCGTAATAGTGTATTCGGTGATAGTATGACCAATTCCAAAGGTCGTTTCATAGAAGATGTTTCCTTAAATGCTGGTTTCAAGTGGTTGAATGATGGGAGCTTAACCTTTAAACAGTCTCTAAATCTAATGTCGGGTTCAGTTTTGGATTTGACTTTTACCAACTCTGATTTGTTCTGGTGGACTGACGAACTTACACTTTTAAATAGAATTTTTAATTCTACGCAAGCTAAAGCTATCAAATATCCAAATGCAGAGAACTTTGAAGCGGCCAGCCAAGCTCGACTAAAATGGAAAAATGCTGTGAAAAAAGCAAAGAGAAACTCTTATCAGGATAAAATTGAAGAGATTAATCAGAGTCCTTCGTCTAGGAAATCTTGGCAATTTTTGAGGAATCTTAAAGGTCTAGGGAAACCTCAGATGCAAGAGTGGTCTCCATCCAATAACAGGGAATATTTAGACTTTCTGAGCAGTCAAATTCCACAAACAGAGTTAACTGCAACTGTTCCTAATAACATGACTAACTCGCAGAGTACACAAACATTTTCTATGAAGGAATTAAGTGAGGTTATTAGAAATAAAAGATCAACGGCTGGTGGCATTGATGGGATCACATATGAAATGCTAGCATCTCTTTCGGAAGAGGTATATAGCTTATAGCCAAATAGCTTTTGAGATTAAAGACTCAAAACTACGATCTTTACAATAGTTACACCTGCTCTCAATCAGTAAATTCGTCTTACACGATAGTAGCAAACAAGTTTAGGGATATTTTTGAAATGACCAAACCAGCAGTGACTTTCACTGCAAATAAAAGACTGCATCTACATAGTAAACCTTTTAATATAAACAAACTAAATGTACCTAAAGAACAAATTCTTGTTATGTATTATGAAATTCTCCACAATCTCAAGGAAACAAAGTACCATATCTTTGCAAGTGATGCCTCAATATGTGATAGTAAAGTGGGTATGGGTATTATTGATGTAAACGGAAAAAAGACTTATAGATTTAAATCAGAGATAAAAATTTCGTCTGCTATGGCTGAATTATTTACAATTAACATGACCTGTCTCATTGCCAAGCGATTAAGACTAACTAAAGTAGCTATATTTACGGATAGTTTAGCAGCTATATATATGTTAAAAAAATGCAGAATCAGATGCCTATCCAGTGGCAAATATTCACAACTTACTGGTATGGCCAGAATTAATCTCTGTAGACATCTACTGGATGCCAGGTCATATGGGTATCCCAATAAACGAACAAGCGGATGAAGCTGCAAAATCTGCCATCTCAAATGGGGTGTTTGTTAGGCTGAACTATACGTTAGGTGAAGCATGTCGAGAGGTCAAGAAAAGAGTTTTCGCCTTATGGAATGACTACTACAAGGAGGCTTCCTCATTGTCTGGTGGTTTTTTCTTTGATTTATTTCCAAATGTTCCAGGGGAACCCTGGCACAAGAAGGTTAAATGGAACGCTCAGGATATGAGACTCCTGAATCGACTCATGATAAATCATACGTATGACAACGTTTTTTTGAAAAAATGCAAAATAGTAAGTTGTTACCTATGTCCAACATGTAACGTAACTGAATCTGCAAATCACCTGATTTTCAACTGCACAAGACTCATGCCCCTAAGGCGTAAATTTAAAATATTTAAGTATTATAACTCTACGCACGAATTGTTTAAAGCAAATATCCTTCTACATATGAGGGAACTCGCGAAATTTGTAGGAGAAGCTAAATTAGACTTTTAATCTCGCGTCGTTAAAACACATCGAATGTAATTGTGTATATAACATATCAACTTAGTTTCTTGGCTTGGAAGTTTTCTTTTGGCCAATTACTCTCTTTGAGAAAAATACAAATACAAATTCGATCACGTTGCCAATTACTCATCTCTATGAATACTAGAAAGTGGCAGTATAATCGATAGTGTCTCGCACATATCGATACATCGTTTCTGGTCGCTGCTACAACAGACCAACCACTAACGCCAATAGGCGTTGAAATCACTAAAAAAAAAAAATAAAGTGGAAAATTGTAAACAACTCAAAACGGATCTTCTAAAAATGGTGAAAAACGAGCCCAATTTCGTGGTGGAGCGCATCGTGGACAAGCGAATCACCAGCGATGGCAAGGTGGAGTATTTCATTAAATGGCGCGGCTATCCCTCGACAGACAACACATGGGAGCCGGAGGAGAACTGCGATTGTCCGGCGCTCATTCAACGCTTCGAGGAGTCGCGCGCCAAGTCTAAGAAACGCGGCGAAAAGAAGCCAAAATGCGAAGAGATCCTAAAGGCGCGCGGCTACGAGCGCGGCCTCGACCTGGCCGAGATTATGGGCGCCACAGATGTGAGCGGGGAAATCAAGTATTTGGTCCGGTGGCAGTACTGCGACGAATTCGATTTGGTGTCAGGCAGCCAAGTGTCGGAGAAGGATCCCCAGATGCTCATCGAGTACTACCAAAAGTTGGCGCCCTACGCCAACAACATTGCCAAGCGCATGAAGGGCGTGCCAGAGGAGCTGCGAGCGGTGGCTGCCCGTACGGGCTACGCAGTCGCCAGCAGTGCGACGTGCATTGAGGCTCCACCAGAGCCAGCAGCAGTAGCCGTAGCAGCCGTCCCCAGTGGTCTTGGCATGGACAGCCAACACATTGCGACCCATGTGCCCATGGAAATCGCCGACGATGCGGACCTAGGCCACGTTGGAGTTTCGTACTCCATTCCAGTGCCTGGCGTTGGCGATATTGCCATTGATGTACCCATGGCAGAGGCCCAATAAGCAGTCAACAATTCAGACAGTTTCTCATTTACTTAACATAATCCCTTAGCTAAGTCGCATTCATGGCTGCTCATCTAGATTAATGCTGCCCAACTGGCCGGTGCGAAAGAATTGTATAAATTTGCGTGCGGCAGCCAATAAATTTGTCATCACCTCCACCTGTCCGTCGTACTGCTTGACGCGATGGAACAAGCCTTGGGCGTGGGCGTATTCCGCCAGCACAGCGCTGATGTTGTCATTGGGACCGGAGCTGAGCGAGAGCTTCTCCACATACTCGTAGCGGCGGTGCTTGTTCAGCCAGTAGAGCAGATAGTCGGCAATCAAATCCTCGCCGACAATGTGGTCGGGCAGGCAGCCAACCAGGGCCAGCTTCATGCCCATCTCGTCGTCCGTCACCGAGGGCTGCAGAATGCCGGGCGTGTCGATCATATAGACGGCTGGATTCTCCTGGATCTTGATGCGTTCCCCGACGGCACGCGTCACCCCAGCCTCCGCGCCGACCCGAGCGGCACTGCGTTTCTTCAGATGCACATTGCGCAGCACATTGATGATGGAGCTCTTGCCCACATTGGGCACACCAATGATCATGATGTTGTGCTCGGCGCTCTGGGCGCGATTGTAGCGACTGCTGTCTGCCACCAGTCGCGTGGCCAGCGGCAGTATGTCCAGCACCCCATGATTGCGCTGATCCTTGCAGTTGGTAAAGAGAATATTCTTCAGTGCCGGCTGTTCTCTGCGTAGCTGTTGGGTCACGCTGCGCTGCTGCTTGGGGCCCAGCAGATCGATCTTATTCAGGACAAGTATATGCGGCTTTACGCCGCTGCCTGGGGGAAACGGAACGGTGGTTATTGTCCATCTCTCTCTCTGTGATCCCATATCGTACCCGTTATGGTGTCAAAGAACTGAGAATTGCGACCGGCCAGCGGTATGCGCGAGTCGTGTATTTCCACAATGCAGTCGACATTTCGTAGCTTCTGTTGGATCTGGCGCATGCCCTTGTTCATGTGTCCGGGGAACCAGTTGATGCGCTGCCTCGTTGGCAGCCGGAAAACATTGCGAAAGGGTTTCAATTGTGTTGTCATGGCAGGGAATCGCGGGAAGCTTAGAAATTGCACGAACTACGAAAATCTCAGGGAGCAACAGCTGATTGCTCATGACGTCACAATTGACCAGGCAAAAGAGGAGAGGTCACACTGGCACAAGCCCGGGAAATTGAAATTTTTCAGTTTTGTGTTAGTTTTAGTTTTGTGGCGAGGAAATGCAGCATTTGCCCCTCAGAGTAAAGTCTTAAAACATAAATATATTCGACATGTAGAGTCTGGCCCTAAGAAACTCATTTAATTACGAAACTAAAGCTCGTCCTTGGCTGGCTTAATGTAGATCAACTGATCCTCGGGCCGCACCTCGTAGGTGAGCAGCTTCACGTAGCTCTTGAGCAGCTTTCGCCAGTAGCACTGGATGTCCTTCATGCGCAGATGCTGCCAGATGAAGTCGCGGCCACGCTGAGCTATCTCCTGGGCCAGTGCGTCGTTATTCCTGAAGAATGTCAGCAGCTGCTCGTATTCCTGCTGGCTGGGGTAGTTGTTTAGTGGCACATAGTGCACCCAGGGCTTGAGCTGGTAATAGAAGAACTCCTGCCACTCGTCGCCTACATGGAAGACCAGCGACTGGCACAGGAACAGATGCTTAGCCGAAAGCTGGCTGCCACGCCACGGAAATTGAACAGATACTTGTACTTGCAGTGATCCTCGAAGGACACCTCGTCGGCGGGCGGTGCGTCCAGCGTGTCCTTGGGCGATTTCCAGCCCTGATTCTTAGTGTACTGCGCCTCCACCAACTCGGTATTGCTACGCGACAACAGGATCAGCGAGTCACGCTCGTCTGAAGTGCGCGAACCGCGAAAGAAGCCCAGCTCCAGCTTTTGCGACCAGGGTATGGCTGCCGCACGTTTCTCCAGCTTTTCCCGCATCAAGTCCCAGCGACCAATGCCACGGGGATGCAGTTTTGTGGCCGGACCGCCAGCCCAAAAGGTCCAGGCGGGATACATGATGTCACGATGGTCCTTCGTCTTGGAGAAGGAGAAAATGGGTCCCTGTCCGCCGTTGCCCCAGGCCATGTTTATCTGCGGATAGTCGCGCGTATTGATCACCAGATCCATGTCGGGCAGCGTGCCCACCAGCGGCAGCAGGAAGTGCTCTATGCCCTGACAACGTGCTGGGAACATGCAATTCTCTTCACGGTACAAACGCTTCTCGTATATTTTGTATCGTGTGCCGTGCCTGGCGGAGCTCTCGATCATCTGCCGGCTGACACCTGTTGCCTTGTAGGGAGCCAGGTCCCGCTTAATAACCGCCGCGTGGCAGCTGCAGTTGGCATCATTTTCATCGCTGCTGCACGGCTGATAGCTGGCCAGTGCCTTCTTTATATTTCGCAGAACGTTGAAGCTAACTAAAAGTGTAGTAAGCAACATTTTTATCCCCATTCAAATGTTAGAAGCCGGCAACAAGTTGCTTACATTCATCCTTTGTTTCAATGCTGTCGGCGCAGGATGTCTCTTCATCTGGGCTGCATAGTCCTTGATTTTGTTCACTGGCTTCTCCGCTCCAGCCCACTAACACTATAATTAATACAACATTTATGCGCATTTCAATAAACAAATTTCTTTTGTTTATATTGTGGCGTTGCCTATCGATTTGTCCGGAAATGCAACACTGCTGGCACAACAAAATCTCAGTTTTATTTTTAAATTGTATTTTATATTTTCAGGTGAGTTGATTATGGTCCTCAGGGACAAATTACAAATCGCAGCAGAGCTCAGCTGTCCAAGTAGTTAATGTTGGCACAAAAATAGTAAGAAAGACACCTGTAATTTGTAATTTGTAATTTCCGTTTAATTAAATTCTGCTTATCGCACAAATATACCGATATTTTCTTGTCCATCGATAAGTGGAATCAAATAGTGATCTAAAGACGTGAAAGCAGTGCCGATTTGCTAAAAATAATGACTAGAAGGTAATTTCTTGATATACTCCACAAAATATATCCATATTAATCGTTAATCCATCCCATATTAATTAAAATCACCTACAATCAAACCAGAATACATATCGATATATTGAGATATCAATATATATTTGACATCTCTAATATTAACAAAAAAAATCAACCAAAAAGACGTCGAAAGTTTTCTCCGTGTTAATGCAATTAATTAGCCAAATTACTAACGAAATCGACGATTTGCCTTTGGGCAAATTATGCGTGCGGCACATAGTGCATTCGAAACCACGTAAATCCCATCGAACGCGAGTGAATTTCGACCAGCTTGCAACAATCCACCCCCATTGTACATGATTTACACGAAAATTTTGCAACAACAAAAAATAGCAGCGACGACGCATCGAAGACGCCGCGCTGCCAACAAAAAAAAAAGGTTGACATAACTGTTAATACAGGCAAAAGTAAATTATTAAACAGTGGTGGTTCACACACTCGCAAAACGGGTGACAGTAATTTTGGCAACGAAAAAGGTGTGTGTGTGTGTGTGTGTCTGAGCCTGGTCCACACACAAAACGCGCCCTAAAAAAAAAAACTGCAAGTGCCAATTGGGAGTGTGGGAGTGGCAGCATTTGCCAATCCAGTTGGAGGCGCAGGCGGAACCAGCACCAGCAGCAGCAGCGCAGCACCACCACCACGAACTTTTGTTGAGGATCGGATCAGATTGCCCAATAAAAACAACAATAATATTCAAAAGAAAAAGGTAACTTCATCTGCATTTAAACATGTATGGGTGTTTTCTTCACTTTGTGTTTGTGTGGGCGTGCTACGTAGGTGTGTCGGTCTGTATGTGTGTGCGTGCAAATAACAGTTAATTGAGCACTCATCGATTTTTTTCCTACATGCAAGTGTGGCCCCCCTCCCTTGCCATCACCATTGTTATTTGCTTTTATTGGGTTTGATTATAAAACCAAACTTAAATTCATTTCCACTTTCAGAGCAGGGTACGGCCCCACTTCCATCTCACGATCTCCCCAGATAAAACCGTTTGAAAAGTTGCCAGCCTGTCGTCATTAAGTTGATTTGCTGTTGCTGTTGCCATTGCCGCTGCCGCTTTGCTCTCTTCTTCGGATTGCTTTCGAGCTCCAGTTTCCGTACCAATTTGATTTTGTCTTTCCCATGCCCCCATGCATGCGCTTCGGCATGCCATTTGTCTTTATCATACATAGCACACGGCACTTGGATGTTTGTTATCTTTTGGATTTTACCTTTCGTTTTCATAGCAACAGCAGCAGCAGCAGCATAATGGTTTAGTTTCAACCGCGACCTAGGGTCACCCGTGGGCACCTTTGCCAGCCTCTCACGCGCTGCTGACTAATTAGCGTCGAGTAATTAACTTGATAATTATCGCATCGCCAATGCCTAACCGCGAGGTTCGCCTTTGCAGTTCTATGCTCTAGCTGGTGGGCTGGCATATGGTCGCTTTGCTTTTTGAATGACTAAGAAATTACTTGAAATATCTCCTCTGTTTCTCTGTGTTGTTTTGTCTTTTCCTCAAACTCGTTTCAGACCAGACCCCATATCGAAATACAAAAAATACAAACAAAAAAACATACGCGATAATTCGAGCTTGGCACTGACAAAAAGCTTTGTCGCTTTGTTTATGGAAATCTCATCATAATTAAGCTTACGATGGAATCACACGTTTGTAAATCTTTGCTGCTGCTACTGCTGTCCATTCAAACGTAGCGATGGAGGGGCCCCCTCTAGTTATTAGGGCGTGCTAGCGTAATTTGCATTTCAATGATCTGATGGTAGAAGCCCTCGAAAGAAGTTCAAGCCCTGCCTGCATTTTGATTGCCTTGAATGGGGTTTCTCTCTCTATTGATTTCCATTGATTGGAGAACCTTTTTTTCTTCTTTCGTGTAATGCCGGAAGTTGGCCAACAACAAATTTGGTCATTAATTCTTCTTGGAGGTTGATTGCTTCTATGTTTATAGCCCCCTTGGCAGTCGTGCTAATGAAAGTTCCTCTGTTTACTGTCCTTAAACAGCTGCCATTTACAGGCGCAGTCACGCAGTCTGGCCCCGAATCAATTATGTATTTCTTCGGACAGGCAGGCAGGCAGGCAGGCAGGCTGTGACTCAACCCATGCACAGACAGA